GATCTACTAGGTGTCTTGGTATATGATCCTCACATATAGCTTTGGCATCAAAACAAGATTTCTCTCGTACGACCCCTCATACAAGATCCCGCACCATCCAATACCCGAACTTATTTCCAGCGGAGACAATCTTCTTCTTGAAATGCAATTTCAAATTAGATAATCATTGTTATCGATTGAAATATGGATCAATATTTCAATAAAAAGTCTATCATTTTTCCCATTTCATATACCATTTACGATTGGATGGAATTTGATTCATCATCATATCAAGTATCGAAATATCGGTAGCTATTTTTAATACATAGTTTTGTTTCGTATAATTTGATGTCCAAATTCTTCCTTTCAGCCGAAGCTTATCAATCATACCTACCTGGGTACTCACAAACGTGTATGCATATTGTACCAACCTAGCTTGTTGTACAGATCTTCCTCTGTTTGCCATCTCAGATGGCATAACGGGCAGTACAATAGAGTTTGCTAGGGTGCGCCGGAATAAGATCTGCATGGCCGGCCAATTACGAAGATTAGTGATCTCGTAAATATACTCATCATTATATCTCCGTCTTTACATGTACCTCTTCCTATGTATTTTCTTTGGAATCACTGTACAGTGGTTTTAAAGTTCGCCACAATCTCGATCCAATCTATATGATAAAGTTTATTGTACTCGAAGTGGTGGCTGACGTTTCATTTGGCCACTTTGATCCTAGGGTTCTTAGCTGCAGTGGAATGAAGAACGTTTCAAGTCATTATTTCGTTTCTTCATTTGTACAGGAACCAGTTTCAATCTCCACTATGTCCATGTTTCCCACCAAAAATGTCCTTGGTATTTGCATGCCTTCATGAACCCGTTCGTAGTCTAATAACGCCTATGCTCCGTAAACTATTCTCATTAAAATACGTAGGGTCCTTGCAATCCCAATTCCCCCAGTCCGGATATTTTCACCAAAGGTGCTAGTTCGGGATATCTAGCAGCAAATCTTTCGTCCAAGCTCCAGTTTGACAAAGTTTTGATGTGATTCTCAAACTCTTCTGTAATAAATATATCGTTACCTTCGAACCTAAATGCTTCCAAGTCCGGACGTGGCCAATTCGCATTAATGCAAAGTATATATGCATTCTGAAAATCTTCATTCGCATAAATTTCTTGCTTTTCAATCACCCTATCTTTGAGTTTGCCCCAGAATATGGAATCCGCCCACAAGGGATGAGCTGTGATGAGCTGGGATGTTCGAGGTGAAGTCCAATCTGTCAAATTTCCGTATGTCGATGATGAGGGATAGATTTGCCATTGGCAAATGTGATACATTAGATAGAGGCAACCTGCACGTTCGGCGAGACCTTTGACGGCAAGGTTTGTAAGAAGATTCGAAATGATTGTAGAGACCACGTGGGTCTGATTTGGGTCGTCAGGGTAGATAAGCGCCTTCATACTAGGTTGAGAGGGTCCAATGATCTGAGCTTCGGGTACTCCCTGTCTCGCTAGTTCTCTTTGTCCGCTTATGATATTCATTAGATATGTGTCAACTCCACACGTCGGTGTCGATGTGTTGAGTATGGGTAGAGCCCAAGGCTGAAGTGACTGAAATGGCGGCAAGGATGGCGGTATTGCTTGTCTGACTGGTGATGTAAGACTTTGTGGTACCAAAGACCGCGGCTGCGGAGTACCTAGGTGGGAATCTTGAACGGCATCTGATGGAATAGATCTCGGAGCCCAATTTCCTACTATAAACTGTCATTATTTAAAACATTCAAAAGAGACTGAATTTCAAACAAAGAAACAGGACTGCGATACCATCATTGAAATTCACGGCAGGGATCGGATCAAAATATGAAAATCGATTAGTCTCATCTAAAGCACTGGTGGAAGCTGGCCCGGATATTGGTGCTGCCAGATCCGTAGGCCCGAATGACATGCTGAATGAGTGCCTGTTAGTACCAGATGGATTTCTCGGAGGTAGTGGTTGGTACCACCCTGCTCCGGAGCTAATAGACCTAGTTGAAGCCATTGCTGGACGGACATCTCGTGCTGACGAGCCAGGCATAATTGCACTTTGTCCAAGATTCAACATAGAAGATCGATCCGGACCTTATGTGGCTTTTGGTTAGCCTTAGGAAATAATAACTCATTGAAGAAGTTGAATAGTTCAAAGCATGTCAAAATCACACACATCCAGGCGATATTTGAACAAACAACTATTTCTCAATGTCCTTGACATATGCTTCCGTGTCCGGAATTGCTTGACAGCGCCAACTTTGACAGCCGAGAAAGTTACAGACACCTTGGCCCTTCCTCCGGAAAGTCCATGAATACGCGTAGAGGCTTAATTTCAAAATTTTGACTGAAAAACCGAGAAAATGCAATGTGCATACGTACTCGAACTATCATCGTCCCTCAGCTGTGCCAGACTTTCACGCAATTGTTTCACTTCTCGCTCTAATGCTTCATTGCGCTTCCGCACCTCTTCGAGCTCTACACCAGATTCACGACCGCAGGTAAGCTCTTCAATACGGGCCTCCAATCTCTCAATATGCTCCTACATATCTAGTCAACAAACCAATTCAATGGGTTTTGGAAGTGAAACCTGGTCAAGTATCTCAACTTGAGGTTGAAATAGACCAAGAAGTAGTTTGCCGCACCTTGGTTCTCAATCTAATGTTCCGCTGAGCTTCACGATCATTGGCTCTTTTCCTTGCTAGCCTGATACAAATTAATTAACAAATCCCAATGAAAGAATGAAGATAGTATGCTGGATCCTGCTCGAAAGCATCACATCAAGAAACTATCATTGAAATTCTGTACATACTGGGCAGGGCTTAAAGTCGATACACTGCGAGTTCCAGCACGGGATACTATGAAAGTCAGATTGCTTCTTGAATTGAACAGATGGCTAAGAGATCGGTTCTTGTAAATTTGCCGGACTTGTTCGTACCTCGTTTCTTTTCACCGGCTTTCTTGCCGGTTGCATTCATCGAGTCTGAATGGTTCATCCCATCTACATCGGACCCTGACGGTTCGTTGGAGCCATGGATTGGTTGGGACATGATTGGAGACTTTGTAGATGGTTGCAAGAGTAGATTATAACACAGATTGGATGTTCCCCTGGGTTTCCTCGTGACCCATGGATCGTATCGTTTGGGGTACGTGCGTTACTTTAGAATCAAATTCCAGCAACGCGAAAGCTGGCTGCAAATGTATCTATCGACGTATGAAAATCTCGATTGGAACGGTAAAAACAAGATAAAGCAATTCCAAAGATGCTCAACTTTCACGGAATATAGATGGTTGTAGATTTGGCTTTCGGTAGTTCGGAGATCTGAAAATCAGCTACTCGGAGACGTCGTTCGAGCTTGCTTGTGAAGATACTTTAAACTCTTCGGCACAGCAGAGCATAATAAGACTCGAGAAGGCAAACTGCGGATACGGAAGTCGTACCGATTCCAAACAAGATGAATCAATATATGAAATGATGCATATAAGGATGGATTGTGAGATAGAAGATTAAAGAAAGTTTGGGCGGTCCGTAGTCACTCTACTGTAAGTACCCAAGTAGTGAGCTAGTGCCAAGATGCACGAGTTTTGGCTCCAAACTACTTTGACTAGTAGTGCAAGTAATTATGGCGTGGCGTAGACGGATTATGAGCTTGTGAGGAAGCTTGAGGGGTTTTGAAGAAATTCGAACGAGATCGAATTTGAAAATTAAAGTATAATTAACTCAGCCTTGGTAGACGGTACCAGATACATAGCATATCATTCAAAGCCCAAAAGCGACGCTATCTACATTAGAGTATTTCCATTTGTAGGTTACTCCTAGAAATCTAGGTGGACGATGTAGGTAGGTTTGAATGGTGGGTGGAAGGTAGTATGTACGGTGGCAGAGTTTTACCAATGAAACTCCGAGAATAACATCTCGTATGAGCGAGCTTAATGAACTTAATCGAATTTGACTTGGATGTATGAAGAAAAAAAAAAGGTTTGATTATAGATTTCTAAAAGTAATAGGTTAGAGGGGTTATGCCGTCCCTTCTGTGCATCGTATATACACACGTATTATGTACTTCGTCCGTATATATTCTCCTTAATTGATTAGCTCGACATTCCGCACATAACTCACGTCGGCTTATAACTTTGCCGGGACTCAAGCCCTCAAATTGGATTAGATGTTCCAATACTAATAATGCAGTAGTGCCCCTAGTGTTGGAATCATTCAGCAACTCTTCTAGCGGAAACTATGACAGTATTGTTAAATCAAATTGTTGAAGAATTTACAAATACATAGATTTCAATACCTAGCAGTCTAGTAAACAAAACATTGATGTTATACCAAGATACCTAGTATTCAATATCTCCCCTGCTCACATATACCATAAATTGTGCTCGATTATTCGTTCCTGTAATCAGCAGATGGTGACGATGCTAATAGCCAGGTACTGATGGACCGCAGTAACAACAACTACAACGGCCAACTCTTGAGGCTTCCCGAGGACTCTTTGGGGATCCAGATTTTAAAAGTCCTTCAAATTTAACGAATTTCACAAATGGATCAAAATTTATTAACGGAATCAAAGATCGGCATTCCCGAATCCGTGCGTTATCACACGTGGGCGTTGGGGCCAGTTCGATCTTCCGCGGCATTACTGGGAAATTCCCGGAAGATTGATAGCTACATCTTATCGCCCTCACTAAAACCTGCAATCAAAGTGATAGAAGTGAATTGAGGAGGAAGTCGTGAGATTAGCTACTTAAGTGGAGCGTGAGATCTCCTCTCGTACTACCGCTTTTAGACAATTATACTTCCTTTACCCACATAAAAACAACCCGTCTTCCGTGATATGCAGTGCAAAGAGTCAAAAAGAGTTAGATCATGGATGTCGTTAGTCCCTATGGTGTGTATAACATGGACCTGAATGGATTCTCTTGGTACCTAGCTAAGCAAATCCAGAAGAACGCATCGAAATAAGGTCGATAATAGGCATAACTTTCAAGGTGTGGTGGCTCATGCAATTTCGGGGTTATCTTCCTTCACTGCCTCAACTAATTCTTCCATACCTCCAACTTCGGTTGGTCCATCCATACCGTCAGGAGGTAAAGCCCAGGCTGGGAGAGGACTCACATAACTCCAAGACCCTCCAGCATCTTCATAACGAAGACTGTGAAGCCATAGAGACAGCTCCTGTTCACCAGGGTCGGTATATAATGGGGTCTGGCATACTTCACACAGCTCCCCGGACATCTTCTCTGCTTTCTTCTTATTGTATTCGTCTACCATTTCATCATGGTAGGCTACAGCATCAGCAACTTCTGACTTGCCCATCCTCGAGAGACGAGTAATAATGTCTTCATCCGTATCCTGAGTTGCGTCCGAGTCATTTGCTCCAAGTCTTGTTCCCCATACACGTTGATTGCAATATATAGGATCGTTGCCAATAGGATGGCCTAGAAACTGTAGATGAACCCTGAGCTGATGCGTACGACCAGTGACTGGAAGGCATCTGACGATCGAGTAGCCTTCCTTTGTCGATCGATCTAGCTCTGTCTGTTCGGAGTTGTCTTCATCCTGTTCGGGAGGATAGTATGCCAGGCGCTTAAAAACCGTGCGGGCAGCTTTGCCATTTGCCCTAACACGATTCAACCCCAATTTTGGCGATATCTGCAGAATTGGCATATCACATACTACTTCTCCATCTGGAAACTTTCCTTTTACTCGTGCTATGTATTCTTTTCTGACAGTGCGACCTGATATCTGTAAACTTAGTGCTTCTGCGGCCTTGGCGTGTTTTCCAATGAACATGATACCACTGGTTAGTCTATCCAATCTATTACACGGTAGTGGATTCCAGCCATGGCCGCGCTCAGCCCTCATAATTTCAACAACGGAATTGTAATTATATCGACCAGCTGGGTGGACGGGGACGCCGGAAGGTTTGTTAATGACAATGATGTCTTCATCTTCATGTACGACTGATATTGGCAGAGCTGTAACGGGAGGTTCATGTCGATGTAAGGTATGTGATATAACATCTCCATTCTTGATGATTTGTGAAGTTGACTCGACAGGTTTTCCATTCACAGCGATAGCTCCGCGCTCCATGGCATCTTTCTACGCCTGTCAGTAAGACTTCCTGTAATTTTGAATCATGCCAAACGTACGTAGTATTCTAATGGCCTATCTCGAAATTCGCTTGAAAATATATCCAATATTTCTCTCCCTCTCCATCTTTGTTTGCAGTATGTATTGTAGGTAAAATGGTACGGCGCGACTCTGCGTAACCCATTATCTAAATAATATGGTCGCGGCCATGGATCGGAAGGTGTAATCACGACTGCGGGGGGTTCTTCAAATGGTTTCTTCTCTTCCACGGGAGGATATCCAACTGAAGTCTCGACGAGTGCCATGGTAGGATTCATTCTTCCAGCCCTGCGGGCCAAAAGCGCAATGATTCGAGGTGAAGGAGCCACTTGATCGGATTTGAATTAATGTGAGGAATAATGCAAACAACTGGTGAACGATTTATCGACATTATGATGCGCAAGTACAGATCAATTTAGAAAATTATGTTCTGCCCAAGGCGGTGTGTAGGGTTGATCATCAATCTAATTAATGATTGCAGTACCTTGGTACCTACCTAGGAGGCAAGGTAGTACTTAGAGACCTCCTGTTCCTTTTGGCATACATAGTGCCCAGGGACTTGAACATTTCAAACCAAAGTTGAGAACATCCATTTTGGCGCATGATATGAACTTACATTGAGAATCCTTTGCTATTTAAAACCCATTATTTCCAACAACAACAATTTGTCTTGGAGTCGTCTAGGTTACTAGAATAATCAAACATACCTCGGCTGGAAACAAATCTCCTAATCGCGTTCTCCTTTTCGAAATCCATCTCTTCCAAACCTCTCACCTCTAATATATTCCCTTTAATATCTTGAGAGAAAAGAACTAAGTACCACTCAATATGTCACATGAAGAGCTTAAGAGAAGAAGACGAGAGGATTATGGCTATGTTTTGGAATATAGAACACGCTGGTATGGTATCTTCACGTCCTCAGTCTTAACACAGATCGCAATGAGCTGACCCAAGATTTGGAGGTCTGACAATGATATGTATGACCATATGAACAATAGCATCTATAACTTCCTGTAAGTCCCATCGAGAACATTGGGTATACTCTAGGGCTAAGACTAGTGAAAGGTACGATTCAATCGTAAACTCATATCTCATCGAACATTGTGGTCTGCATCCACCCACCTCATCTCAGTACGGCCTAGTTGTGCACTCCCATGGTGATTTCTTTGGTTCAATCGCATTTCCAGCTGTCGCTGATCTAGCTTTACGTGTCAATAAGCTTGGGAATAGCAGTGTTACTTACGAAATCGGGTTATTCGAGAGGGGAGTTGAAGAAGTCAAGTCAGTGGGTGAAATTATTCACGTGTTTGTTGAAAGAGAGACTGGCCGACCAGCAACGCGAGGTATGAACGACACAATCAAACAAGGACTCGAGAAGATCCTCCAACCGCAACCAAAACTTTGATAATCTCAACAAATGCTCTGATTTTACGTCAATCCAACTCATCCAATTAGCCTCGTGGGCCAGGCTATCAAGATGTGCCAAGATAAACCGTTCCACAGATCACAACGCGAAATTCTCGATACAAGAAAAGAAGCATTTCACTACACTCCCGTCGCCAATGCTAAGTGTCCCGATGTATTGGGAATACTAAAACGGAAATTTCGCTGTTTGCATAAACTCCGAACCAATGAAGGTAGAAGCTGACGATTAGCATCTATTCGGGGAAACCTCGCATGTATGATAATATCCATATGTATATACTAGTCCGTATTGTCTCGGGATAGATACACGCGTTACTAGTTCAATTTATCATCATGATATGTTGGCTTTGGCTGAGAGGCTGACATATCTCATTGTACCAAAATTATTGAGAGTTCCTTGGAGCGGGATATAACGGTAGACTTACTCACCGCGCTTTCCACTTTTCCACTCTTGGCAATGAGGGGGAATTATTTGAGAGATCAAAAATCAAGAATCATGCAAAAGAGAGTTCAAGTTGGTAATAGAGAATCCGGTTAAATTGCGGAGTCCTCGGCTAACTTCCCCAGTAAGATCAACAACCCCCGCATTCTCGTCGGCACTGCTATCCCCTGTTATTGATCGCTCCTTTGCCCTTCCTCCCCCGCAGAGTTCTCTTGTCAAATAGCAAGTGAGGCAATATGACAGGCACTGATAAGCAATCGATACTACCAAAGCAGGCATGATGACTGGATACACAGATTTTAGATGTTGATGATCATGATACCTTCTGACCTGTCATGCATATTTCACTTCTTTGCCCCAATGGAAATATGTTAGTGATTAAAAGGCGTTCTCTCTATCTAGATGGCATTCTATCAAGCTTCTCTCAATTCTGGATGTTTTTGTCTGTGATATCAAACTTTAACTTGGCTTCTCTCGTTTTGGACATTCACCACCAGATCTCGACTCTGTGGTACAATTAATACCTCACACCAGCAGTAGTGTACCTAGGTAACATAACCACAGACCCAATATCAGAAAAGCCTTCGATTCAGCTACACCAGAAACACGACAACAAAGCGACTCAAGGAACGAGACTATGGCGTCAAATGTCAAGGCACAGTCGGATTATATAGAGGATGTCGATAAGGATGATTCGACAACATCAGCTGCGGTAATAGATCCCGGTCTTCGAGTTCTTGAACCGCCAGAATGGATCGCGGCCTTGTCTCCTGAAGAACGCCTCAGTATTGAAGCCAAACTCAAAAGGAAAATCGATCTGAGATTGTTACCTATGGTCATTCTGATGTATATCATGAATTACCTAGATAGGGTGTGTTAATTACTCTAATTATCATACATGTCAGGTGCTTACTAAATCATGGTAGAACAACATTGCAGCAGCGCGATTAGCAGGAATGGAGGAAGATTTAAATTTAGTGGGAGATCAATACCAGGTATGCAGTGAAGGGTTCATGGGTGATAAAAGCTAATATTCATAGACTTGTGTCAGTATCCTATTCGTAGGATACCTCCTAATGCAAATTCCCTCCAATTTATTCTTGAATAAAATAGGTAAACCAGCACTATATCTTCCGGGGGCAATGATGATTTGGGGTGTGATATCAGGTGCAACAGCTGGTACCCAAAGTTTTGCTGGTCTTCTTGTTTGTAGATTCTTCCTCGGTTTCATAGAGGCTGCTTATTTTGTAAGTTTTAGTGCGTGTGGCGATTTGATATATCACAAGCTCTAACACTACACAGCCCGGCTGTCTCTACTACCTCTCATGTTGGTATACCCGCAAGGAATTAGGCTTGCGCACTGCACTCCTTTATTCCGGATCCCTCATTAGCGGAGCCTTCTCGGGTCTCATCGCTGCAGGTATCACGGGTGGTATGGATGGAGTCCATGGTCTTCTAGCCTGGAGATGGCTTTTCATTATTGAAGGTGCAATCACCGTTGTCATTGCCGCTACTGCCTACTTTATCCTACCCAATTTCCCTCGCACCACGGCTTGGTTGACAGACCGGGAACGAGAATTGGCTGTCTGGCGTTTGGAAGAGGACGTGGGCATGGACGATTGGGTGGACAGCCATCAGCAAACTTTCAAGCACGGCTTGAAACTCGCGTTCACAGATATCAAAACTTACATCCTGGTGATAATCTTGTTTGGTATTGTGTCAGCTGCGTCTGTTACCAATTTCTTCCCGTAAGATTCCCCATGTCCAATACAATCTGAGAAAAACAAAGTCTAACACATCCCAGAACCGTCGTCGCAACCTTAAAATACAACCGTATTCAATCTCTCCTTCTCACCGCTCCCCCTTACGTCCTCGCCCTCTTCACCTCCATGTTCAACGCGTGGCACGCCGATAAAACCGGCGAACGCTTCCTCCACGTTGTCATTCCTCTCTGTTTCGCCTTTGTAGCATTCATCCTCGCCGCCGCAACCACAAGTATTGCTCCCCGCTATCTCGCCATGATGCTGATGGTTCCCGGCTGCTATACCGGTTTCGTGGTCGCCCTGGCATGGATTTCCAACACGCTGCCACGTCCCCCTGCTAAGAGAGCAGTGGCCTTAGCATTCATCAATGCAGTGAGTAATGCGAGTAGTATTTACTCTAGTTACATGTATCCCAGTAGTGCGGGCCCGAGATACGTGGTTGCGATGAGTGTTAATTGTGGAATGATCTTTATGGCGATGTGTGCAGCGTTGGTGTTGAGGACGATGCTGGTGAGGTTGAACAAGAAGTTGGATAGGGGAGAGGTGGTGGATGGAGCAGTTAATGAGGGCACGGTGGCGGCGGGTCAGAGGGGTTTTAGGTACAAGGTATGAGTGGTGGTGGGATTTGAGAATGGGGATGAATTTATAAAATAGGATGCGGCGAGAGGTAGTCTCAACCTTCAGCCTTCAAACTCGAATTTCGAGGAAGGAATCAGAGACAGCGATTATGTATCAAGACAGAAATGTCTTAGAATAGAATGATCTCAGTGCGATTCGTACACCAAGCCTGGATATCATAATGCATTCAAATAGATGAGATAGACAAATAGACATCAATTCTTCAGCAAAAGCAACGAGTCCTTTTCCCTTCCTTCTCTTGAAAACAAGTATATCTCTCATTTCGGTGCCAATCCCCAACTACTACACTCAAAATCAAAACTCTTTCTTGCTTAACTTATCTTACCTCACCTCATCTCGTCTTCTCTTTCTCTTCAAATATCAAATAATCTTCATTCTTATTTTCATTCGCATCCTCGTGCTCATCCTCATCATCAATCTATCCATTTATCATCTATCATCTATCATCTATCATCTATCATCTATCTAACCGCTCTCATAATTCATTACAAATTACAAACTATCTAATCACAAGACAATAAATAAATGAATGAATAAATAAATAGTCCCGCAATCTCCTCCCCACCCTCACACCCCCTCTATCCCTCTCGTTTTCCCCATCTCATCCCCTCTCCCCATCCTAACCTAGAACCCCTCCTCCCCCAAAAACTCATTCATAACCCGATACGCCTCCCCCGCACTAAAATGCACATTAACCGCATGCCCACACCCCCTCAACACATACGGCTTAAAAGCCCTACTCTTCGGAAACGCCTCTCCAACCATCTCCAACACATTTCCACCACCCGCCATACAATCGCCCCCACAAAAAATCGCATCTTCATTCCCGGTCAGCACCAGCACCGGACCCTCAAACTCCGGCGCCGAAGACGGTTGCGCCGCCAACGTGAGGAGTTCTCCTGTCGTAAAAGGTTCCTTGTATTTTTCAGTGTATTCTGCGATTTCCAGATCGTAGTATGGGGGCGCGAGAAAGTTGAATTGGTTAGCGCCGAGATTGGCCCAGGTGAGATAACCATCGGCAAGATTCTGGGCGTAGATGTTACCTGTATCTTTGTTTGAGCCGGCGGTGTAGAAATATCCTATTTTACTAAATGTGCTTTCTAATTGAGAAATTGCGGAATCGAGAAGCGAGAAGATGGAAGGAGCGCCGAATTTGTAAGGTTGATTTACGGATGCAGACTGGATGTTGAATCCTGCAATTGTCTGGGGTAGGGCAGAACCGTCAAGGGAGAATCCTTGGAGAATGAGTCCATCTGTGATATTTGGGTATGCTGAAGCGAGTTCATATGATAAGATTGAACCAAAAGAATGACCGACATGGACAATCTTGTTTGGTTCTGAGATCTCGACGCCTGGTAAGTCACCTGCACGTAGTAATTTCGTCACTTCTACAATTGCCGAAAGCTCGGCAGGTGCTTGAATGACTGATGTTGGGTCAGCTTTTGAGGATTCACCTATTCCAAGGCGATCGATAGCTAAAGTGCTATAGCCATATTGGTCAACAGCAACATCCACGTATGAGTAGTTGTAGTTGTTGAATGGCAAATCCCAGTACCTATATAAACAATCAGTAGGTATATTTGACAGCGTAGTTTTATACTTACGATCTATCGAAGCCAATTCCATGAGTAAGGAATTGCCATGAATCAGAGTTGCTGCTTGACTCGCTTGGTACACAAACAGTTGCAGCAATATTGTATTGGCCAGTTACCGTTGAGAATCCTGATAACGTAGATGCACTGTAATTTTGCCCAGCTCTTAGGAAATCCTGTGCAAACTTTGTTACGGCAATGGCATCTGAAAGAGGTGGGATATTGAAATTTCCATTTCGAGCATTGATAGAAATTGGAATAGAGATATCAGTGCAAGATTTAGCTTCAATGAAGCCCAAGCTAGCTGCTACGACAACAACAGAGAGTTTGAGCATGATTATGATTAAATATTAACACAGTGAACAAATAGTGATTAAGGGGAAAGAAGAAGAAGAAGTCGGAAACCGTTAGAGGCCGTCGGTAGTAATATAGGCACCGCATATCAAATGTGTTGTACTAATTGCGATCTGCGGGCCGAGAAATTGAATAGAAGTAGTACCACCATGACGTTCACCACTCGGTGCGACTAGCCAGTTCGCAGGTAAATGATCACCAAACTTTGAAAACTAACTGCCTTCACTAGAGAGACCCTTAGGCATTGGTGTGCCCTAGGCATTGGTGTGCCCTTGGCGCTAGAAAACTCTTAGAATATCGTCATGAATGATTTGGAATAAAGTATAATCCTAGCTAAGATAGAATGCCACACGAGATGGTAATCTGGCAGCTCTGAATGAAGATCAATAGCTTTGCAGAAGAATTCCCTTTTGCTCCCACTGAATAAAGGGGTCCAAATATATTCATGCCGCTCCTCATTTATTCTTGTGTTGATCTTCAGTAATTGACACCATCAGAACAATTGGAGTGTAAAATGTTGTGCAGGGACCTTCGCCCCATATTTGTTGGCTTTTATCATGACGACAAACAAGATTTTTCGACTTCCCGTTGGTAAACTACTTGGTAAGATTGAATGTTCTCAAAACTAAGTAAACAAAAGTAATCTTTGTCGACATAGAGGTTCTCTTTAAACATTCACGAATCCCATATCGGAACGTATCAGAGTTGGCAAAAACGTGATGTTACATGATGCCCATTGATTAAAGTATTTGGACCTCATGTCAGAATTATCGAACTCGACCGATAAATTCAGAGCTCATCCTCAGCATCTGTAGCAACAAAGCAACACAATGGGATCCTGCTAATTAAGCGTCGACTCCCAAATCCCCTCAAGATTCTACATATTATCGCAATCAAGTTTGGGATCGCTATTTTACGCCCCACCCCTTGAGATGACGAGATCCATATGATTTATGATTCCTTTCGTATTGACATGAATGCTTTGATCAGACAGTGGAATGCTTTGCTGCTTGCTTTTCTTTATAGCGAGAGATCCATCGAGACACTTGAAGACCGATAAGTCCAGATGCTACGATGAAGACAATGGCGAAAACAACAATAACACCAGGCTCACGAGCTGCCCAGTTCTGTCTCTTGACAAGTTGTTGTGTAGCTTCGCGGATTTGGATAGTTGCCATTTTGATCGGCTACTGTAAATCGACACATTAGTCAAGAGCTCAGGATCCAATGATTGAGAGTTCAAATCAAATCTTCACATTGAAAAGTAGTTTCAAGCGAAATATCAACATTGCCAGTTTGATCCCCGAATGGATGTCCAATATCCAGATACATTGAATAGAAAGACGTAGACCTTATGCGGTGGCCGTCTTGCCGGAAGTGCTCCCATTAGATGGCAGGAGAAAGGTACTACTTACTGGCTCGATGCTTTGGAATTGAAATGAGCTGAGTACTGTATAGGGATTAGTAGAGTCATCCAAGCTTCAAGGGTACCTGCTAGAGTATCACTCACGTTGAAGAATGGTCCCGCAGATATTATGACGATCAATGTTCGTAGGTAAAGAGTGATTGTTTGGTCAATTGATCTGCTTCAAGTTGTCAATTCATGGTATCTTTGAAGGCGAAAATTCCCTGAAAGGAGAAGATCTGGAGACCAGCGTTCGTGTGTATAGACGGGCGGAGACATTGCAAAGATGCAGAGATTATGGTGGCTCAACTGTGGAACTCCAGATTAACTGTTGAGATGATTCGCGACAAGAAAGTTGGCCGGTTTATCTTTCATGCGGGGAAAACGCGGGGAGAGGATGAAGAATATGAGATTTATGGACAAGAATGTAAGACATACCTGACAGATGTTGTCAAGTCCTGGAGTGTACGTAATATTAATCTGTTGAACGATGAAGATTGATGAGATGTCGTTTCTCGAAGACAAGAGGAGATTGAGATAAGTAAAGACTTTTCGTAGTTTGTGTAATTATCGGAAGAACGATGAATTCAATTGAACTGGATAGATGAGGAAGTTGCAAACGACTTCAATTCTCCTTCTGCAGTCACCCAAGTCGCTGCTTTCAGAGTTGAGAATACCAGAAACAGCAGGATCATCTGTAGGTAGCTTTGTATATAGTTCTCATTTTTTGTGTATATTCTTCTGCCATGTCTGATTAATTGAATCTAATCGCAGTGTCGCCATCATCAGCCGGGCGCAATCGAACTTCCCATGATATCGATGCCATGAGAGAAATCTCCTCAAAGCCTCAGCATTTCGATGTTCAATATTAAACTCGACATCCTTTGCAACGCCTCAAAATCTTGACCTGGCTTGGATTTGACTGGCTCGACTGGTTCTGCCACCAAAAGACACGTACCAAAGATCACGTTATGAAAGACGATATCATGTGACAGAAAAATCATGTGACCTCACATTCCCTCGGCACTTGAGTCCCTAGGGTTCATATTCCTTGTGATCATCACACACAAGCAGGGATATTTTTGGATCTGTTATCTTGCCTTGTCATCAATCTCGATCTTATCGTCAAACCCACCCTTCTTCCAATCGATGGAGAATTTCATTCTCCCCTGATTTGATTCCTGAAGTTCCGTCCTGGTACACTTGCAATTAAAATGTAGCAATGGTGTGGTGGAGTGGTGGAGTGAACGAATGCATTTTCATTGATTCTCTTGGCGATTTCAAAACTTCTCAACTCCATAAATTCTGTTCCAACATATCGAATGCAGTCTGAACGATGAGAAGCTCAAACATTTGGCTTGTGAGAGAAGAGAGGAACTCTGCTTCGGAATTATGGGGATGATGGTTTTGTGGTTACGGAAAGATAAGGGATTCATTTCATGTTGCGACACCTTTGGAGAGAAAAAAAGAAGAAGAAGAAGCAAGAGTGGATTCTCGAATTCTTTTGGAGGCAAGTTTAAGCACAAAGTTGATGTTGATGCCAGTGCCAATGTTCATGCTAATGCTGTATGAAATTTCATGGTTAAAGTTTCTATCTATATTTATATCAACTCAAGTCTCAAGCCAACGGCAAAGTTCAAATTCACGCGTTAACCGACATCCACCTCTCGCAACCTTGAGCTGACAGCAATATGTGATTCCCAAAAGGTAAGGTGCCTCGATAATACCTACCTCGAGGTCCTAGTACCTGCCACATAAATGCCATGACTTTGCATCGCACACTGTACGACGGACATCGTTATCAGCATTCGCAAACATTTATCCACATTGTATTACCAGAAGGTTTTACACCGACGGCACGTGTCAAAGCACATAGATTCTTGTCGTCTGAAGGAAAGAAAAAGCATCAACAAAACCAAGAGGCGGGAAAGGCAAGTCGCGCATGTCTCAAGGATGATGGATCTCAAGACTCAAGAGCCCGAAACATCATATAGCCAAGAAGTTATTACCAGGTATTCCGTATGCAAAATTTATAAACTATTTTCCTTGTATTTGAAAGCTCTTAGGAGTTTGGATGAATACAGTTATCTATCGGGATGGGTAGGTAGGTAGCAGACAGATCGATCTATCTCTATCAATCTTTATCATAATCTCAGTGAGACAGTTAGACATGACTTGATACCAGCATATTAGCCACATCTGCATGTAAGATTTCGTACTCGTGTAGACTCTCGCTCTATCATTAATCATAATCATACCTCGGAAATGCTGCAAACCCCGGACTACGAAAGCACAACATTTTATCATATTATCGGAATTACTAGGAATGCCACCATCACCACTTTTCTGTCCTTTGTAATCAATCATCATTGACTCTATGAGGCTATGACTTTGTAGCATATCGCATCGAGTATAGCGTGACTCCATGTGAGTCGGTTTTAACAAATCACAATGCAGATATCGGTGTCATGTTTAAATTACTGGAGAATCCTGAGCATCGGCACAATAGAAATAGTGGGCAAAGGAATTTCCAAACGAGAGACTAGAGATCAAAGAAATCCTTAGGACTGGGTACATCACGGAATTTTGAGGGTCCGAATGCAGTGACATCTTACCAGGGTAAAAATTGCGTGCTGGGACGACGTAAAAGAGAAATTGCACATTAGCTAGGGAGTGAGGTAGGTAGGTAGTCTTTTCCATACTATGCCTACCAAGGTAAACTCTCTCGACGATATCAAAGGGCTCTATCGTAAAGTGATCTATACTACCTAGGAGACCAGGTACTTAGCTGTCTAGACTACCGGTATCCGATTATACTCTCGATAAATAAGGAAACTAATCAATCGACTCAAATCGGAAGAAATCCTTTATCGTTAAAGCTAGACATACGATATATTATTAGAGATTACCGGTAATCGATGATACTAATAAGATCAATACAAGAAACTTGGGACTTGGATCTACCCTAAGAACAACAATACTGACAACACCTAGATGAACTACTTGGTAGTATACATGCCATTCAACTATTACTCACAGAGGTACTACTACTACTACCATGTATGATGTACGCAGTACCTACTCTAGAAAGTCTAATTGTCGGCTTTCCTTTTAGCTCCCTCACTTCCCTGCCATCCGTAGTCCATTCATCTTCTGCTCTTCTTCTCTAGCTTCCATACCTAGCTAGAGCTCGTCTAGACAGGAACGGCAAGATCCTTTTCATATTTAAAAACTAATCTCAAGCCCCTCGGTCATCGATTTAGATCGAAGAAATCGTATTCTTATCCATCGACTTTATCAAATACAGACAGACTATATACAGCACCGACTAGTCTACCTAGTACCTAGTATACCGATATCAAGACCAGACAATTTTCAGCCACGGCCCACCTCTAAAGTGCATCACTGCTCAGTGTTCAGTGCTCAGTACTCTCTCTCATCCTCACCTAAGCGGTTCCCCCTTGTAAATTGTTTATCAATAAAGGTATTCCACCCCCTCCCCTCTTCTCCCCTTCACGGTAGTCCCACCCATCGACTACATCCACAGCATCTGTTACACAAACCTTGTTCATCTCTTATATTCAAATCCCCCCCATGGCACCCTTCTACAATGCTTTCAGAATGATCCGTAAACGTCGATTCACTTTCCGTTCTATTTGAAGCACCGAAACTTCCCATTACGTGGAGCTATCGTCTGAGATATCCTAGTCATAACTCTTACCCACGCCCTAGCCCGCTAGACTCTTTCACGTCCACGATATCATTCTAGAATATAATAAAGGCTATCCGACGAATTTAGAAAGGTAAAAAAGTTATTGAAGTCTCTATCCTTATTTGTTCTGGCTAACATTTTTAATTAAGACCTCTCATATCGGATATTAGCTTTATTTATTTTTTCAAAGCCATATAAACCTTTATTCAAAGCAGCGGAGCTGTCCAACGTCTATTTATCATCAATCGGCTCTGGAAGCTTAATACCATATCACATCATCACGCACCATTTATTTAAATTTATACTCTTTTTTTTTACATATCAAAAATGGCTTACGATCATCCCGTTCAAAACAGTGAGGTGTACCTTCTCAGTTCTGCACCTCACACTTGCCTTCCGGCTTCAGCTCCACCATCACCACCAACTCCAAGTACACCATGCGACGAACTTCCTCCTCCATTGGACGACCTGATGTCATTGACCCCCCTAGAAATAGAAGAGGGATGTCCACCCTTTAGTCAACGCTTATCAGGAGCAGTTCATGTTCTTAGTACAGAAGCTACATCACTATCATCATTAACCATGCTATATGATACCGATCCAGTCGCAAGAGATGGGTTCAATCATGCTGTGGATGCGATCAAAAGATCCATTGGCGAGAGAGGGAAGCTCGTCATTTGCGGTGTAGGAAAGAGTGGCTACATTGCCCAGAAACTCGTCGCGACAATGCGTAGTGTCGCCATCCAAGCAGTTTTTATTCACGCCACCGAAGCGGTACACGGAGATCTTGGAGCGATCACCAAATATGATACTATTCTTCTCGTCTCTTTCTCGGGCAAAACCCCCGAATTACTCGAGTTACTTCCTCATCTCGATCCATCTCTCCCAATGATCATCCTGACCGGTCACACCCATCGATCCAATTGCGAAATCATCAGACGTCGACCAAAAACTATCTTATTGCCAGCACCCACTTTTGAACCAGAAACAGTATCATTTGGCTGTGCAGCCCCAACCACATCTACCACGATGGCAATCGCCGTAGGAGATGCTCTCGCTCTAGTCATTGCCCGAGAAATCCACGGAAACATCTCCACCGTCTTTTCCAAATATCATCCCGGTGGTGCCATTGGCGCCGCCTTCAAACCACCCCAAAAAGTATCTGATATCGCCATTTGTCTCGCCGACATGCCAGATCTGGGCAGTGGACCAAACACTGGAGCCGATCTTCTTATCAAAGCGTATGGCTCCGAATCCGGATGGGCGAGATGTGGCACCGACATCGTTGTCCCACCTCGCTCCATCAAACAGCTTGGAAAAGCTGATATGGATTTACAAGCTTCTTCTATCAAGGGTTTGATGATTCCAAGCACTAAATGGATTACTATTCCGGCTGAAACCGAAGTCGCTGCTGCAAAGGAGATGTACATGAAGTCTGGTTCGGAAAAGAACAGCACATACTCTGAGAATACTATCCTGGCGGTCATGGATGATCTCGAACTCATAGGAGTTTTGCAAATCGGAGACCTGGTATAAATTGGTTTACCGTTTGCAATTCAGTTCTGGCGTTTTCATAGGATGGTTGGATGGTTGGAGGTTCTACTGATTTTGGGCGGGTTTTGGAGAGTGAAGAAATACACACATGCTTTTTTTTTTTGGATTAGCGATAAGACATCCATTCCAAGTTTGTATAGCGCTTCTCAAGTTGTTTGTTGGTTGGTTTATTTGTTTGCTCAGGGGGATTATAGATTTTTCTTCTTCTTCCCTTTCTTTGGGGTTTCATTCTCCATCGCTACCGCGATGGAGACGAGAGGTGACTTGATCGATTGATTGATTGATCGCGGTTTTAAGTATTATGGATTAGCAACGGATGGATGGAGCGACGGAGGGATGGAGAAATGGATGGATGCACGAATTATGACTAGGATACTAGGTAGCAGGAAAGGAAGAAAGAAAGATGAAAGGAAGGAAAGAAGTGTTGTATAAATGGAATTTTTGAATTCCAAATCACTCACTTGCCTGTCTGTATAGAGGGGAGGAAGGGGGGTATTTGGATAGTCACCTACCTACCTTACCACAGCAGACAATTTTATACCTATCACCTCTCTGAACTGTTGCCTTTTTCTCGCTTTTCTTTCTTTGGATTGATTGACTATTTGATTGATTGATCATTTGATTGCCCGATGGATTGTTTACTAGTCTGTTCTTGTCTGTGTGTCTACGTGTATACGTATATCCAGTATACAGTCTATACTCTAACCTACTCCCCAAAATCGAAGCAGTCCTCAAGCTCAAACCACTCAACAGTACCGCAAGTCCGGCGCCTGATAGGAGGAGTATTTCCTCAATCTCTTCAACCTTCTCAAATTCCTCGCTTGTTTATACTACTACCATTGCTGCTTCTTATCCTTCTTTTTGAAAAGAGTGCTCCCAGCTAATAAGTGGTGACACTGATGATGAGTGCATCTTTCTTCTTTCTTCTCGTGGTTTTTGTGTGCTCTGCGCTCCTGCAAATGGTCGTGCTCGTGCTCATGCCCGTGGTCGATAGTGCTTGTGGTCGACAGGAGGTTTGGGCTGGAGATTAGTGTAGCTAGGTAGGTAATGCTTCCATTTTCATACAGATACGCGCGAGCAGCAAGCAAGTCAGTAAGTCTTTCGAAGACTTGCGTCAGAGGATATTGCTCTAACTCTAGTTCTAGATCCCCATTTTCTTTTGATGGCGAGGCAGGTTTGTCTTGTTCAATTCTTTTCAAGCTGGGGAAGAGTTGTGTTTGAACTTTGTGAATTATACAGTGTCAAATATCAATTCCTTGTAGCTTCACTCTGTAGTATATGTCGTTCTTCTGTCAGTATAGCAGGGAGGGAGAGAGAGTGTGTGTGTGCGTGTGCGTGTGTGCGAGTATGTGATGGTGTGATAGTGTGCAATATCGACAGTGTTTCTCGTTGTCAGCAGTGCATATTCTCCAATTCCAAAGATGACAGTATAAACGCCATTTCAGAGTGTTGCCAACAACATGAGAGCTGCCTCGGCGCAAATTCACTGTCTGTGCCTGAGCTTCTCGTCATTGACTGTCTGGCCGCCTCTTCGACTCTTTCGCTCGTTCCGGTACCCAAATCATGCCAGTACGTAGCCTTGTCTTGCGTTTGGGGATGTGCACAATCCACTAGCACCAAGGTCCCAGCTGTGATCAAGGACGCTATTGAGGTTTCCTTGAAGCTGGGTCTGAGGTTTATTTGGGTCGACAGATACGTAAGTTACCGACTAAACCTTTGTGGCTCAAGAAACGCTAAAGTATCAATATAGTGCATTAGACAGGACGACCCAGAGAAACACCGACTGATTCTTTCCATGGATGAAGTTTATGCTAAGACTTGTATAACCATCATTGCAGCTGCTGGAAAGACGGCTGCTGATGGGTTACCTGGGATAAGCAATATTCCTCGTTTAGCCCAAACGGAGACTCATATCGGTGGAAGCACCCTACTAGAGCTCCCTTCAATACTTAACTCTACACGGTCATCCACCTGGACACAGAGAGGTTGGACATATCAAGAGGGTTTATTATATACACGGTGCCTTGTTTTCACTGACAGGGGAGTGCTATATCACTGTAAGGGTAGATATATTGAAGAATCTTTGCAACAGCTTATTCCCCCAGATACAGCAGCGTTCATGAAGGATTGGAAAATTCTGCAGACACTTAACATGTGCACCGATATCTGTCGAGATTCCAGACAAGTCGACTTATTTTTACGAACAAAAAGCGAAGCATCTGTATGTGACTGGCCCATTAGCCAAACTCAGGCTTGTCGGGGCAAATCGACTACCGAATTCTGGTGAGTTTCCAAACCTAGATTTCAGGACCTGTCACCACCATGTCATGTTAGAGGAACGGGCCCCAGGGATCTTCGCCGTAATTCGTTTGTCGTTGAGTGTTGAGCCTGAAGTTGGAGAGCAAACATTTGGTCTTCTATTTACAACCGAAATCGGCTCGGATGAAGAGAAGCGTTTTAGTATTCACGGCCTCATAGTTCTACGGAAAGGCGACAAAAGCTTCACAAGAATTGGGTGCATGAGGTTGGAAGACTTCTGGGTGCGCAAATACGTCAATATCGATGGTGCCTCAACTGTTAAAAGAACAATGCCTCCACTCAATGGTTGGCGTTACTTTGGTCAAGAATTTACAAGGCAGCGTATCTGTCTCGAGTAAAGCGGAACACAAGATTGAGTTCCTAGTTTTCCATTGACAAGGCGGGTCAGCTCGTCCCACCTTACCCGCCGTTATGGTTGGCTTCAGAATTTTTTGGTCATTCTTGTGCTAAATAAAATGATCAATATCTAAGAAATGATGATATGTCCTCGAATCTGTCTTTTTCGCAAGATGCTCATCATAAGAGCAAGCTTTCCTGACGTTAGGTCCTCTTCGATGCTCTTTGGAAATATTGGCTGCAGGTGCTCCAATTTGTAGTTGTGTATACAGATAAGAATTCTTCCTTATTCTACCAGAAAGCGATAGGGTCAAGTTCGCATCAGTTAGATCACATTGTAGAGTCTTTCACGCAGGGAACCAAACACCTTGATATCCTAATTAGTTAGGACAACTTTCTGCTCAATCTCTCTTACCCTGAGCTGATAATGCCGACTGATTATCTTCATCGTGCCCTTGAGGATACTTTGATCGAAATAAATTGTATGTTCTTGGACATAAGAGCATCAAGAAGATTGAGTGAGGGGTACTGTTCTAGAAATTGTGGTTGCGGTTTCATAATACTGTAGTACAAAATGCACACAACCATCATCACGATTCTTGTCTCGTTGTTTCTAGCTATGTTGCACCGCCACAATAATATCCACAGAACTATTTGATTAGTAACTGCCGTTAATGGCTATGCCTGTGGCAAGTGCGACTGAGAAAGAAATTTGATAGGTGTGTAATGAACAGCCACAGGAGGAGTAGCTCTCAATGACGTCATTTAGGAGCATTTGCCCCAGACAAGCTTGGGGTAAGGTCAAAATCGAGGAACTACTGCTACATATATCTTTTGGAAATTCGATACAGGTTTATATTATTGAGATATTTTTGATTAAAATCCAACGACACCTAAAGAATTATCACATACGAGCATTAAAAGTGCTCGAGTTCGTACCTCTAAACAATACAATCTTCACATCACACCACATCACATCACATCGCAATGTCTAATCCCACCGAACCACCACCACCCTACACCGAGAGTGCCACTCCCAACCACCCCCACAAAACCCGAAGTGGTATTCCTCCTCAAAGCCGTCGTTCCATGGAAGACGAAGCGCGTTCCCTTCCTCCTGGTTGGATTCGTCAATACGACACAGAAAGCAACCATCAATTCTTCGTCGACACCCGACAAACCCCTCCCCGCTCCATCTGGCGGCATCCCTACGACGACGACGAATATCTCTCTTCTCTCCCACCCAACGAACGTCAACGAATCGAAGGTATACACCGTGTCCCCAGCGATGCCGACCTCGAAGCCGAAAGCACAGACGACGATTCTGCTCTTCCTGCACGCTCTCAGAATGCTCGTCCCAATGAGCAAAATCCCACTGGCATCCACAAACTAGGTCGGAAAATGAAAGACAAATTAACCAATTCCACGCATCCTGAGCGAGAAGCCCGTCGTAGAAAGAGAGAAGAAGAAGAAGCTGCTATGTATCGACGTCATCAAGCTATTCGAGACGCCATGCGCAAGGCGATTCAGACAGGCGAACCACAGCTATTGGGTAAAGATCGCAATGGAAAAGATGTGTATATCGAACCTCCGAGAAATACTGCAGGATATCATCCGGGTTCGGGAATGGCCGGTGCGGGAACAACGAGATTGGGCATGTATCCTGCGGGAGGATATGGATATAATCCGTTCATGCCTGGTGGAGGAGCGTTTGGACCGAGTCCGTATGCGATGGGGATGGGTGCGTATGGTAGACCGGGGATGCCGTATAATAGGGGTTATGCGAGGGGATATGGAGGGGGAGCGGGATTGCCGTTGGCGATGGGATTGGGTGGGGGGTTGATGTTGGGAGGATTGATGTGTTAGGTGGTTTGGTGATGGTGATGAATTATGATTACAGAAATGCAAGACAATTCTTGAGAGAATGAATTATGAAATAGCGATGCTTTCGGATGGAATTCATGGATCAACACGGAATGAGAGGATAGGAAAGGAAACAGAAACATGAATAATTGCAGGACTTTTCCTTTCGTACTGGAAAATCAGTAATACCTAGGTAGTGATAGAATACCCAATACGGTGAATTGTCAATTACCCAACTCGCTCTTATCACTTGACGTGAGCAGTGTTTTATATTCATGCTTACCTACCTCTAAATTTCATGATCCAGCGGACGATATAATAACATGGTCAGTGAACTAAAATCGTCCATCGAAATCGTTGTTTCTAACAATACTCATCTGATGTATATATGCACATATCTTCTCTTCTCTGCTCTTCTTATATTACCGTCTAGTATCCCAATCCATCTCATCTCATCTCATGGGCATGTGTATAATCATCCGATATCTACTCCCTAATATCTACCTCCACACAATTCCGCTTGCACTTCCCATCTCCTCGCCCCCCTTTCCCAAGTTTCCAATACCCAAACTCCAATCCGGCTATCTTCTCAAACTGCATCTATAACTTAGCCTTCTCTCCCACAGCCCCAATCTTCAATTTCTCCCCATATTTCTTTAACACATTCTCATTATGGTATTTCCAAAACTGTTTCGAAGCATCTTTACCCGCAACACGTTTGAGAATCTTTGCACCGCCCGGATGTTCTTCGAGGAAATCTGGGAAGAAGGTTAGTTTAGCCGTGGGTTGAAGGGGGAAGGTAATTATGAGTGTATGGAAAAGGGGCAATTTTCGGATAATTGGGATAAAAAGGGAAAATGGAACATACTGGTAACATCATATACATTCTCATCGATAATTAAGTACATGCCATTTTCGGCATCTTTGTGAGCGGCGACTTCCGAGGGAGAAAAGGTTTTGGACATCTTGCTGAATGGGGGAGGACGATATGTATTTGTGTGTGTATTTGAATTGAGATGGGAATTGGAATTGGAATTTGGTCTCTGATCTCGATTTCCGATTTGCGATTGATTCTCAGAATATCTTCCTGTTCTACTTCCACTCGAACTTTGTGAACCTGTGTATCCTCCTCGTGAATTCGGAGGTTGTGTTTGGATTTTCGGTTTCTGTCTCTGAGATTGTGCTTGTGCTTGTAATTGAGATAACCGCACGCGTTCTTGTTCGCGTTCCTGGCCTGCTAGTAATGTTTTCTGCTGATGTTGATGTAATGCGATTAAGTAGATGTAGAGGGAAGATGTGGCGATGATAGCAGTGAGATTGGCAGTTCCGATGTTGGGGAGGGAGAAAGAGGAGGAGGACATTTCCCCGGATTTTGGGGAGGTCGTGATATTAGTATTGGTTCGATGGCTTTGGGAGGAATTGAACCGAGGTTAGAGGATAAGATATGGGGTCAGCGAGATGGAGTGTGCCGTGATTGGTTGATTTGGGTGATCGGGACATTTTGAGATGGGTTTGCCGATGTCTACGAATATTTAGATGTGAGTTTGGGGGGTCTTTGGTGTTTTTTTGTCTTTTGGAGTGATGGAGGGATTGATGGGTCGGTCTACTGTGGTGTTGTTCGAGATGGCAACGTAAAGTATATCTTCATTCTTTGTAAAATGTATCTATCATGTAATAACTTTCTATCTCTTACAGCATCATTTTCACACACAATTTATGATATATATGAGATATAAATATAAACATCATAATGTAATGTAATCCAGTCCACAGCAACACGTGTATGCATGAATAACATCGTCATGATCTATAAATGCAAATGCATATAGCAATATCATCCAAACCCCTGCTATAAAAACATGACAATATATACGTACCAATCAATCAATAGTGACTCGCATTCAGGCAATACCCTTTGGTACGTAGTGAGAATGACGTTCAAATTACTCCACCTGTTCCCGTGCGATTTTCTTTTCCTCAAAAGGTTACATATGTACAACCAACTTATCAGCAACCAGATTTTGAATTGTGGGTGTGAGCATAAGAGATGATGAGATATCTCGTATAGATCAGGTATACATTACATACACTTACTACAGTATAGAAAACAGTCTTGTTGGTTTGGAGTGTGAGAATATATTGATTTGATATCTCTGGAATATCTTTCAAAGTTTGTGGAAGAAGATTTACCTATTCACTTACAAGGCGATCTTACGTTTGTATCCTGAAATTCATCCACAAGATACGGTTCTCTTGGATTTCAACGAGACTGTGATCTTCGTTGAATTACAACTTGCATTCAACACACACATTTCTTTTGATCGACGACGATCATCCAGTTCAAGATGTTTCCTATACCGTCAATACCATATAGAAAAGAACCCTACCCTCCATATTGGGGCACGATTAACTCGCAAACAAAGTAAGTATATTTTCCTACTACCATTTTCTCTCGTTCACCATACTGACATCGAGTAGTTTCTGCGAAGAGGTATGGAAATTCTCGGTTTATGATGAAATAAATCATGTATCAGTCAACTGATGGCAATCAGGATCATATCGTAACTACATATATCGCCGAGTTCATAAATACACTCACAAATATCACATACCGTATATTCTTCCCTCTTCTACTTCCCTTTCTCGTATCCCGTCTTCATATCTTCCCACGTGTTTGATCACGAGATTCAGTTTTACATCAACAACCGATGGAGTGCTGATACTTCAACGATACATAGTTTACTACGCCTACAAAGGTATCCGCGCGAACTCCAACCGTCAAGATGCCATCCTGCGAAATCTACCCTATCTCGGACTCGCAGCAGTAGGTATCCTCAGTGCTCTGTTCCATGCAACTAATAAAGACTGGACTCAATGGTGTATGTGTAACCTATGTCTCTTTTCCCTTGTCAAGGGAATTCAATCCCCTATATTAATCTGATACCTTCTCATATGAATATCCATACTAATAAATTTTAGTCGACGACACCTCCATGTTGATCGCCACATCTACTGTCGTCCATCGAGTTTTCACATATGACAAATCACTCAGATATACAGTTGTAACCGGAGTATCTTTGTTTGCCTTCATGGTTGCATTTGTAGCCTGGCATTGTATTACCGACGAAACTGTAATGCATCCCGTTCTTTTCGGTAAGACTTCTCTCGATTTCCGTCCCCCTTTCACCTGTAATCCACAACCCAAAAATTAGGCAACAAACAGCTGACGAACATAAACAGGTATCGAAATCGCATTCGTAGGCATCAAAACACGGAGTATCATTAATCTCCGCGTGGCAGATGTAGAGGTCCAGAAGCAGGTCAAGAAACTCGTTACATATGGAGGTGGTATGTAGATTCTTGTCATACTTCCTTCTCATATCACATGATCTTCCTACGGAGTTCTAACTAACACGTTCAGTAATCTTCGTATCCGGTTTCATTCTCTGGAATATAGATAATCAATTTTGTGAATCTCTTACCGATACGAAACATTCGTTAGGAATGCCTTGGTCCTTTGTACTGGAATTACATGGCTGGTGGCATATTTTGACGGGAATCGGTGCTTATATCTGTATGTCCATTTTCCTTCGATCTTTTAATCTTTAAATCTCCTAAGCTAGGAAGTCCTTCGGGCATACACACGATAAAACAAAGTGCACAGCACACAATCTAACAACATGAAAACAGTCATAGCACTAGTCGAATACCTCACCTCCGAAGAAGCAGGCCAAGAACTAGGCAAAAGCTTCGCGTGGCCTGTCGGTCTAATTTTAGCTGGCCGAAAAAACGTAGCGAAAAATTGGGACATGGGAAATGGAAGAGGTGAAGAGGAGAAAGGAAGAAACGGGGATGTGTTTTCAAATGGATTTGGAAATGGTCATTTGTATGCGAATGGAAAGATGCATGTGCATGAGAGGAATAAGAGTGAGTAGATGAGTAGATGATTAGATGATTTGATGCGTAGAGCAAACATGGAGATTTTGTATGTGTAGGTGCGCAATTGATGGGATAGGAGATTGGATTTGTGGCTGGGAACACAGTTTGGGATAGTTGATGCGTGACAGGCGGACTGTCTTTTTGTAAGGAAAATTCGCATGGTTAGAAAGGGAGATGTACAGGTGCGTTTCAGCACGAATAGGACAGGCAAAAAGGGGACATAGGAGATCCAAAATGCTATACTAGACCCTAGAATCATATCTCATATCTCAAATCTACAATCCCAGATCTAGAATCTAGAATCTAGAAAACATCCCGGTATCGTAACGTGTAGCATTCATATACAATCAAGCGAAACTACCAAATCAGATCCAAACACCAAATACCAAACACCAAAATCCATACCCATACCCATAGAAAATCCATCCAACTACCCAACTATCCAACAATCAACCCCCTCTTCTATCCCCAAGCTACTCCTCAAAAAAATAAAAAAAATAAACTATCAGAATCCAGAAGTGTAATAGGAATATTTCATTCATCCCATCCTATCCCATCCTATCTCATCTCATCCTTTTCCTACCCATACTAAATAAGCACAACTACCTACCTAAGTAGGTAACCTTACATTTCATCCCGCTACCCCCTCCAATCCATGTTTTTCTCTCTCTCCTCTTCCTCTTCCTCTTCCTCTTCTTTCTCACAGCTCCTCACCCCAGTCCCCCAGTCCCTCAATCCATCATATAGAAAGAATCCTCAGTATAACGACGGTACACATTATTATACAGTATACAGTATAACAAATTCCAAGGACATGGACTGTTTGATGATAAAAATTGAAAATTGGCAAAGATATGAACACAAGCATACACACATATACACCGCACAAATCACAATATAACAATACAGAAAAGAAACATATCATTCTCATTATAGATCTCAACAATATTTTCAACAACATCCTCCAAAACCGCTAATCTGCCAATCTTTCTCTCCCTCTATAACTTCCCCCCCAAATAAGAATGAGTGAAAAAATCCCAGATCCTATTCCGTGTTTCAATCTATACCTATGTAAAATAGCATACCATGCCATGCCTGCTTATACAATCTGTTCTCTATTCTTTAACATTCTGTCCAATTTGATTTTTCCACTCTTGATCTTGGTTCTCTTTATATTCAGCTTTATTCTTTTCTTGTTTGTCTTCTGTATTGCCTCTTCTTCATTTGCTGTTTTTAAGCGACTCTCTTTTATCGATTCTCGTTTATTAACTCTCCTTACTTCGTTCAATATACCTTCCCCTCCACCTGCCTTCATAGTTATCCTTCTCAAATATACTTTTTCCATCCATCCCATATCCATCCAAAGAAAAGACCATCAGCCCTTAAAAATTCTCAAGAACCAGAAAGTAAAAGAAAAGTAAAATATCACACACAAATCCACAAACACCAATGCACCAATGTACCAACCTCCCTACTCCACGCTACGCTCCAAGGCTCAAAAACAGCATTTAAAAAACCCCCCCATATTCTTTTTGTCAAATAACAAACCAATACATATCAACTCCTCATCTTGTCTCTTGTATATCGTCGGATCATACTCGTCGAATGTATTTTATATTCTAACCAAGTTCATCTTCAAAATCTTCATCAACATGAATTTGAAAAACGGCCCCTTTGATATATCTCCCAACAGGTTGTGTACTAGGATATTCAGATGGAGTATCGCTATCATCACTGTCCTCTCCTTCAATGACTTCTGGTTCTCGTGGAAGGAGACTAGCTGTTGTCATCTTGATTGTTGATTGTGAATCCTCTTTGGGAATATCATCAACCATGCCTCCCCACACATCGTAAAGTTGCTGTTCCTCATCAGATGCATCGTTGGCAAATGGTTCAAAATCGCTCAATGCGTTATCATCATAGCCTTCATCCATATTGATATCATTATAAGTCGCGTTACCAAATGCATCTTCCTGCGTTTGAAAACTTCTTGTACGGGAATTTGTATCAACATAAGGTGCATTACTATAAGGCGTAGCGTACGCGGATGGAGTGACGCCTCTTTTACAGTCTACAACCTCTTGCGATATAGAAATCCCCGGACTTGAGGGACCAATACTCCAGGCATCACGTGGACGAATAGGTGATTTTGATGTACGGCGACGCTTTAGGCTAGAGGTCTTTTGAAGGGGAGATGATTGTGGTTCACGATCGAAAGAGCCAATTCGGCGTTTTCCCATTTGAGCCGTGATAAGTGGGGCAAGTGCGGACATGGAAGCCGTACGAAGAGGTTTATATGGATGACGGTCTTGTTTGACGGGAGACGATCCTGGTACTCTGGAATGTGTAACCGAAGATGAAGTTGAAGACTCCATAGGTGTGTCAACAGCAGAATATTCGTCTGATGGAGAACTGGGCTCGATTTCAGCATCCTCTGCCTCCTGGGATAATCGAATACTCAAGGATGTAGTGAATGATGCATTATCATCAGCCGGATCGAGGCGCTCATCCCACGCCCAGCATGTTTCAGCAGCATCAGCCTCTGGTGTATGGCTTTCCACAACGTCTTCATCGTGAACTCGAGGTAGCAGACGTAACTTTTGCCAAGTCCATCTTGCCGAGCGATTGACATGATGTTGAAGATAGCTATCCGCTTGTGTGACATAGAGCCTCCGCATACTCTTTGTGCGCATTGCCACACTTGAAGAAAGAAATGGCACGGTCCACAATGCAGGAGTGACCATTTCTGAAGGATCTAGAAACCGTAGAACCGACGTTTTATGTAACTTCCTCAGTGGTATCCAAGTAGCGCGTAGTCCAAGATAGTTGTCCAAGGATTTAGGAATCCGAGGTGGAGTATGTTTGGACGATGAGAAAACATCTTCGGATAACTTTTTGGGAAGATCTCCGAAGGCTGACATCAAGGCTACTTGCACATCTCGAGCATCGGGGCCTTTGATTTGCACCACCTTCACTAAACCTCTGCTCTTCAAGCGTTCATTGATCGTAGTGGTAGCACCACACGCTTTCGGCATCAAGAGATCATCGTCTACATTGCCTTTCTTCAGCATCATCTTCTCCCAGGACATAGAATAACCTTGATCGCAAAGAGAGGCTTGCGCAGCAGCCAAGACGTTTTGTTGAGTTTGAGTCCAATCTTCAGATGCGCAACTATTAGCCCTTGAGCGTTTGGATATTGCGTGATTCGTAGACCAAATTCCCATCATCTGGGGTCCATATGGTAAGAATACGACTTCAATCTCCCATGGTCGATCCCATGATGGTGGAAGAGTAGCTTCTATCTGAGTGAGTCTATCTTCAAGCTTTTCCACACGAGACGCGAGACCAGAGCGGCCCCTAGCATTCGCTGAGAGAGCAGAGGATGTTTTGGTTGCCTGAGAATCGAATGACTCATTCAGGTTTCTATTAGTACCTATACTGCTCTCGTCAGCTGCAGCATTAACCTTTTCGAGCTCTTCTACTCTATTCTCAAGCTCATTGATACGTTCACCATGGTCATCAATCTCTCCTTGGAGCTCCTCAAACCCAGTGTTTGAGAATGATGTATTCTCAAGAGCATCGATTCTCTCCTCATGGTTGCGCTTGGTATTTGGAAAATCTGTTATGATATCACGAAGTCTGGGGACAAGGTGCTTATCGGGCTCATCGAAATTAGCTATGAGATCCATGAGAATATCCTCTTGGTCACTGAGTCCAGGTCTAGTCTGAGAAGCCTGGATTGAGGGCGATCTATTGGAGCGTAGAGGTAGAGTAGCAGCTTGAGGTTTGATATTAATATTTGCCAGCGTTTTATCCATAGCTTGCTCATCTGGGACACCTTGAAATGCGAAATCCTTGGTTGCTTGCAGACTTGGTGCCGTTGTCAATACCTCGGTAGGACTTTCAAGAAATGTTCGACCATCGGGGGTTTTATAAGCCTGTATAGGTCGTCTCTTACCTGTTTGTACAGCTTGCAATTGCGTGTTGAGTCGAGGAATATGACTCAAGGTATTGAGCCCCAAGCCAAAGAAAGGCCGCCTAGCCTGGCTCGAGGTCATTGAAGCAGTCTCTGAGGGCAAGAAGCACTGCGATGGAATTGGCGGGAGTTCCTCTGGTCCGGTTTCAGATTGTACAAGCCGGCTCCATTCGAGGGTTTCCTGTATACTTCGGCGAGCGGGATCCGGGTTGTCATTTTCAGGTCCGTTGAGATTCTTGGGAGTAGATGGCTGACGGTTCACTTGAGCCATAGGAGTAATAGACTCCAAATTGAGTCCCGAGACATTACTTAAAGCTCGTGATCGCTGGTCCTCTGCTGGCTGTGAAGATTTACGACCATGAAAACAAAGATGATGTCCGCATGCGCAGACTTCCGCTCTAGGCAACCCTCCATTCTCTAATATTGCGCTGGCCGTCGAATTCTGAGGTTGAGCCCAGAATTCATAACATCCACATTTTGTTCCAAAATTCAGATCTGTATAATTGCAGGCTCCACCCAATTGTGTTCTCCCAATTGTATTATTAATACTGTTGCTTCTATATTGGTCTGGTGTATCCGGGACGGTCGCTGTGTGAGAGGCAGCCATGGGAAGATAGTTGCCAGAAAGGAAGAAGTAGGAAATGTCGCATCGAAGAAATTAGAGGGCGGGGGTTCGTAAGTTTAGATCGCGATAAGAAATGCTTTTCGAGGTGCCAGCCTTATTAAAATGCAAATTGCAAATGGCAATAAACGCTATGGATTCGAAGAGTTCAATATTTGAGCAGAGCAGAGCACAGCAGAGATGGGACTCGAGGTTTAAATAAAATGTCCAAGAAAATCAAGGCGCGCTGGAGTAAAAGGTAAGGCTGTCGACGCGTCGCAATCAATAAATTTCAGTGCATGTCAAGGGTTATCTGTGCCCCATTAATTAATATTTGTATCACCTTAGCAATCGGAGAGATAAGATTGACAACTGACTTGATGGTTCGTCGCATGTAGGCACTGATTGTGGATGAATCGATTCGAAAAGTCAACAAACATAGCAGAGAAACAAATTGGAAATAACTAGGAAACTCGTTGATTGAAGTAAGAGAGGGAAGAAGGAAAGGCAACAGGAAATTTTGAAGATGGTACGCAAGTTTGTTACTAGGTTGGTAGGTAGGAAGTTAGGAAGTTTGGTTCTGCACATATCACTACAAATCAATAGCAATTGGTGTGTGGGGTAAAGAGAGAGACAAAAAGGAACGCAAGAGGAAGTAAATAACAGTTCGTCAACCAATTCCGTTTCCTGCGGAGTCATATCAGATCCTTAGAGCTTGCAGTCTGCATACATGGCGTCTTGATGTACCATAAATCCAATTAATATCCAAGCCCAAGATTGCTACTTTCAGTAATTGTTAACACAATGCAAAGTTTTGATAAACGCTTGCACGCCTTACTTTTCTACGAAAGACTCGGGGCGTATTCCCCGGATCATCTAATTGGTGGTATTGCATGCAGTTTACAAGCAAGGGAGGGATTATTCAATGTAGGTAGGTAGGTATGTTTAGCTTGCTTGCCTCGTCGCCGCTTAGAACTACAAGAGAAATTTCATGCATTTGATTGGCCGAAGTTCTATTTTCAGATCTCGGGAATAGCTTCAAATGGCAACCTCCACGGTGAACGCATTCGTATAGTTACATATGATCGGCATGGCCACAGTAGTAGTCAGTATGCTGCTAATTTACATTATTCAAGCTTCTCAGCGTGACTCTCTTCATAAACATTCATAAATTCTGTTGAAAATTCTGGTACTCTGTACCTATTATGTACCATAACACTCCTCGAACGTAGTGACAAGAAATGAAAACCAAACTTCAACCAGTCGTATCGTCCTACTAAATCTGTAGCATCCGCCTTCGCAATCGTATTTCAAGCCAAACAGATAAAACTCAACCCCTCTAGATCAATCAACCCCTCAATCTCATCCATCCTCCCCACAATTTATCAACAATTCAAAGCGCAAACCCCCTCACCCCATATACTACCGAATATGGCAATGTATCAAATAGCCAACCAGGCCCCAGTATAATTACCTAGTATGAAAAGCAATAACTGAATACTCACTCGCGCCAGTGATATGGCCTCATTTTCCTCTCTCTCGGTGGATTGTTCTCATTCTCAGCAGTAAAAATAATCAGATGCGGAATGATTTGTATCGTCTCGAATACGAAACATTCCTAATCTTTGGTAGATGAGAGCTTTCTCTTGCATTGATAATTACATCGTATCGTTGTCTCATACCGATGCAGAGGACTTTAGTAGAGCAACCAATGATAAGGCCTAGTTCCATAGCAATGACAGTGAAACTAGAGTCATTGACCACGAGTTTAACATGACTATCGACGTTACCATTCACATCAAAAATTCGATATGATCTAAGATCTCACTAGCTTCTAGGACCTTGAATGTTCGTCTGACACTAGCCATTCTTTAGACATTCAACATCCACATGATCTCAAAGTACCCATATAGCTTCAAATACTTGGAAAATTGAACATGAGCAAACTTGAGCAAGAAGATCCTCAAAGGACATGAAAGAATAGAAAAGAAGACCTGCTTACAACGCAATCTAGCACCGCTTTCCTGAGGCCATTGTAAAGATGACCGACCATATTGTCCCTCGAGTTTGCAACACTGGCACCCAGTGAGACTGAGAAATTTTCCTTACTAAGTTATAAATAGAACCATTCGAGCTTCACAATGTGAGTTGATCTGGAAGTTTTCGGTGGTCGCTGTGGACTTCAGAAGAATCCATCTGATAATCTTCAAACTTCGCCAGTACGACATGTCGGGTATACTTTCGCAGATTGAACAAAAAGGCTTTTGATTTTCCATTGTTCCAGTGATGAAAAGGTAATCTCATTTGGTAAGTATTCTTGTTGGTTGACTTCCCATGAAAGCTTTGTAGCACTGGCTGTAATGCTCGATGCAAGAAACGTAGAAATTTTGAAAGCATCCTGGAACAAAGCATTGAAGATGTAACCAAAGATAGCAAAGTTGCACGAGATGATATATTTTCTCAATACGTTGAAAAATTGAAACAGTATGCAAAAGGAGACGAGCAATTTGACTACTGGACCAACGACAGGAAGTCGAACGTTAGGAAATCCAGATTTGGCTCAGATTTACCTGTGATTCGATAATTACATACTTCCATGCAACCCAAATAAATCTATTATTAATCCGATAGAAATATCGTCGTCGCATTGCATTGAATCAATGCTATATTTGCACGCGGATGTCGGCATTTGATATGCAAAGAGGTTCAATGGCATCCCCGGGAAAACTGTCCATCCAATCACACACGCGTTCATTCCAACCTGCCAAGATGGTAAAATAGTCGCAGTGTTTCCTGTCTCTGAGATGGTAGGCTGATGCGCGATCTTATAGGTTAACGATCACGGCGGCTAGAAGACAAATTTGACACTTCAGCGGTAAAAAAAAGGTGTTGGCCATAGATATGCTCGAATGTCCCATATATTGAAGTAACATCGAGAGGGTGTGGAAGAGATAGAAAAGGATAACTTGATCCTTCATCTCTTTATGGTTGTTGTAGCTTCATCTCTTTGAAGAAATTAAACATACGAAATAATATTTGGAAAAATAAATAAGTTATGGTTCGAATGATTTTGGGAACGACAGCGGGTATGTAACCAAAGAAATGTTGGGGCTTCGCTTCGGGGCTGTTAGGCCCGAGCGTCTCACCAACTAGGGGCACCAGGGACAGAATGACGCTGACAGCTTCTGAAAAGTATCGCTAGTTCTCTCGATAGTCAATGCCATATCAACAACTGCAGCGGGGTTTGTTGCTGAGGATACGAGCGTCACATTTGCTCTCAACATACCAGAGAAGAATACAAACAATGATCTATACTTCAGTATATCGGGTCCGAGCAGTTGCTCCTGGATAGTAAGTTCGAACCTCTAAACGAGCAAATTGTTCCATCTAATCGCACGAAATAGGCTGTTGGCATGGGATCAAACAAGATGAAAAATTCCCTCATGTTTATGATGTATGCCGATTCCACCGGAAAGAATGTAACTCTCAGTCCTCGGATAGCTTCCGGGGAGAATGAGCCATCGCATGCCACAGATATTGTGGTTGAATCTCTTGCCGGCACTGGAATTTCCAACGACACTTTCACGTGGAATGGGAGATGTCTAAACTGTACCTCGTGGAAAGGAGGATCCTTGGGTTCGACAACAAACCAAAACGCAACTTTCATATGGGCAAATGGACCGCCCGGAACACTGAAATCAAACTCGTTGCACGCTGATGTCAAGAGACATGATTCTTATGGAGTTTTTTCCATGGATTTATCGAAAGCGGTGGGTACATCAGGTGTCCCTGTCATTCCAACTTCGAATTCCAAAGGCACTATTGAAATTTCTGAGAAAGGGGACAGCAACATCTCGTCCGCTGCCCATGCTGTTTTGATGGTTCTAGTATTTGTTGGACTTTTACCATTGGGTATAGTCATTTTGAGATTTCTAAATAGTCCCAGGTGGCATGCTCTCAACCAAACCATATCTCTTGCAATTGCACTTGTAGGGGTTGGATTAGGCGCGAAGTTGGGTACACTTTACAACCGGGTATGATAAATTGTCTCAGTCCCTAATGATCATTCTCTAACATCATTATAGACGAAAGGTTTCAAATCCGGACATCAAATCTTTGGCCTTATCATTATTATAGCCATGATCGGACAATGGATCCTTGGATTCCTTCATCATCGAATGTATAAGAAAACCTCGGCCACCACCAAATTCGCCCCTATGCATGTTTGGTTAGGCCGTGTCATTATTCCAGCTGGAATCATAAACGCTTTCATGTAAGTCCTCTTCCACCCACCCATAAACCAAATCTAACACCATCTCAGTGGATTCCCCCTCGCACTCAACCCCAAATTCGACTGGGCCCTTCTAGTCTGCACACTTCTCATGGTCATAATCTGCGCGCCCGTTCTCTTCTGGGGCTACAAACGTCGCCAAGCAAAGAAAATCAAAGATATCACAGGGGAAGTAGAAGGCTACGAAGCAGAGCCGTGGAGAAACCCACAGGCGCAGTATGATATTGGTCTTAACCATATGAACATGAATACGAACTCCAATCTCGGGGTGCCTCCACCTTATCATGCGGGAGAACATCAGCAGCAGACATCTCAGCAAAGGATACCGGGCCAGTCGTCGCATAATTTGCCGGTGCAACAGGGGACGCAGTTTGTTTGAGGAATGAGATGATTCTACGAACGGGTTTGGGATGTCTTTGACTCCTTGATGGGCATGAGTATTTCATTAGTGTGGTTTTCGGAATATTCAAATATGGTAAATGAGACACATGGCGTGTTTAAGGGTCGAAGGAGTCAGTCATTTTCACAAAGGGTCAAAATTTCGGGATACCAAGGAAAGATAATGAAGCATAATGACGGCGTTTGGTTTGGGTCATGAGTCGCAGAGGAAAAGGGATACGCATCAAGGATTCATGTAAGGCCTGGTTGCCAGCATAAAATAAGGTGGTATTTTGGGGTATTTGATCATATTTCTTTTATGAGTGCAATGGAACACTGTACACTCGAAATCTTACATTGTCGAATCGTCAGAGCATTTGGAGTATCAAAATGATACACCAAAGGAACTCACCCTAAGTGACAAAATTCATGTTGAACATGTAAGAAGGCAATTGGCAATTATCGTGTTTTATTCTGACTATATATCTTCAAAATCACAGCAGATCAATTCCGCCTTCTATATGCATTTTTCATATCATCATATCGTATGACACCTTCCCTATGATCCTTTCACACCCACCAAAAATTAAACATTAAACCCCAACTCCCTATTTCTAACCCTCGCCTCCTCCTCAGCCTCCCTATCTCCCTCCAAAATAATCTCATGTCCATCCCCCTCCCTCACAAACATACTCGCCAAACAAGTCACTCCTGCCATTCCCGCCAAAACCCAAAACACAAGCCCTACATACCCATGACTTAATCCTACTCCATAAAGATAACCGCCTAGAGCAGGTCCTACGGTTCTTGCCGCACTACTGGCGGTTTGTCCGATTCCGTGAATAGTACCGAGAACAGAGGGATGTGGCGAACAGTTGTTGATGAGAATTGTAGTTGCTGGGCCGGCGAAAGTACGAGAGATGGTTTGGATAAGGAGGACGAAGGTTAGAGAGATCCAGATCGTCGGGCCGGTTTTTTGGGACGGGGGTGGAGAGGAGGATGGGATTAGGGAAAGGAAGGGGGCGAGGGTGTAGGCGATTGGAAACCCGTAGAGGAAAATGCGCCAGCTGCGGACGGTGCCCAGACGAGTGTTTACTATGGGGTATAAGAATAGTTGCATAGTAATACCAATCATTCCTAGAATGGACATTGCGAGGCCGACGTCGCGGGGCGGAAGACCAATGCCGCCGGTGAATTTGAAAGGTGGATGTGGTGTGTAGTCTGCAGGAAGAGATTTGGAAGGTTGCGAGGGATTGTAGACGGAGGTACTGAGAAATGAGTACCAGATACTCTGGAAAGTTCCCATCGAAAATGCTAGTAAGGCATGGGAGACTAAAGTGCATACCACATTATATGTGAAGATTTGACGGAACGGTAGTCGATTCGTATACCGAGGAGCGACTCGCTTGGGAGATTTAGGAGTAATTGGCGTAGGTCCGATAATTGGCGAAGATGCATTGCTTGAAATAGCAGTATAATCACCCTTACTAGAATTTCCTCTTTGGAGATGACGGAAGAAATGCTTGACAGCTCGGCCGGCATTGATGCCCCAATCCTCTTTATGGGCATACAGTTCATGTGTCTACATTGGTTAACAGAGCTTTACTTCACGCAGAGACAATTAGGATGCTTACTTCTTCTAAAGCAAATATGACCGCAAGACAGGCGGAGGCAAGAAATAAGGCACTGAGCAAGTTCGGAGGTGCATATGGATACTTTTCTAACCATTTGATACCTCCGAATACACTTGGATAACTCCCTGCTGGATCAGCTAAGAGACCGCCTAAGATTGGACCAATGATAGTCCCAATATTACCGCACATAGGTAATATTAAGAAAGCACGACTCTGATATCTGGACACTGTTAATTCTCGGTATGTTCAAATAGAAGAGGAACAAATTCTCACTTCTTTTCCTTTACAATCTCGCTAATCATGGTTCTCATCACACCTACATTTCCATTAAGTGCACCACCGATCATTCTGAATATCAGTGCTTGCCAAAAGTTCTGTGCAAATCCAAACCCCAAACAAGAAATTGCGGTACCACTCAGACCTATCAATAGAACTCTCTTTCTACCCGATCGATCTGAAAATCGTCCCCATAACATAGCAGTAGTTAACTGGGCCAAGGCAAACGACCCAGCCATGATACCTGCCTGTGATGCAATGGTCGAATCTGGTAGTGAGGGATCAAAAGATTTCAATTGGTAGAATAGATAGCTCTTTTGTATATATTAGTGTCTTATACTATCTCAAGGATTGAAGATTGAAAAGATAAATCATATCTCAGTGCTCTCAAGATTGATTTTAGAACTCACCCTCAAACTAGTCTGTACAAGGGGCTCGGATAACCTCGCGCAGGTAAGAATAGCCAATTGCCTCTTATGCGGCAAACTACTCCAAGCTACAGGTCCCTCCTTTTCCGGCTCTGTAGCCGGGATCTCGATTTGTAGATCTTCATTGTTCTCTTCTTCTATAACGGATTCTCGTCGTTGTAATGGGTGTTTTCCGTGTACTTGCTCTCCGGGTTTGATTGGTGCGTATGCATTGGTTCGCGACACGGTACCATAAGAAATTCCACCATCGTTACTAGCATTTATGGACGTCTCCTCATTGGCTTCTTCTCCCGCTGGATCTCTTCTTCTGTTCCGTGATTGATCTTTCGGGATATCCGAATTATTTGATTTTTTAAAATTATTACTAGACATTTTTGCAGTCGAGCTCGAGAATGACAGGTGAGCGGCGCATGCAAAAGCAACAAGGGTTTTTTAAATGGTATAGTATAGCTCAGAGTATTCCTAGCCGTTATAAACGAAACTCCAAATTTTGTAAAGAAGGTCAAGACCTGCAAATGACCCAACTCCAACAGAAAAAAGTCTTATATAACAAAAAAGGATTGACCGCCAGTACAGCCGCGACCAAGGGTCCTTCAATAAAATGTTCCCGCAACGTTCCCGGATCGATATATCCGCAATGATTTATTCCAAGGTTTGATTGGTTGGTGGTGGATATTGCGCTATCTGGCCCGGTCCCGAAAATTCTGTCATTTAGAAAACACTTGACGTGCGCATTCATTACACAGCCACAAAGCACCTTTGATACTATTAAGATGAGAATAAGGTGTATGGCATTTGACTTCTTCATCGTCAAACCTGCGTCTGGAACTTCTACGTCACTAAGGACGACGCTGTAGGAACTTCAACAACAGACTTGGCTTCCTGCGTGGTAACGGCGAAAGACACCAGCAACGTTGGTTATGTTAGCATTTTCAATGTAGCTATTGAATTGTAATAGCGCGAAATCACCCAGTGTGCAATTTTGTTGCAAATTTACCCTATTTGGAAAGTCTCGGGGCGAAGAGTTTGTCGTTTTCCGTGACATCTTCTTCTCATGGAAAATCCTTTTCGATAGCATTGTGTTGCGATTCAATGCTAAATCTCAAGTTTGGGCAGTGATTTCATATTATCACATACTACTTGTCTGATCGGTATGAAATCTGAATGCCGCAAAAAGAAGAGGGAGGTGGTAGAAGTCAGGTTAGATTGGCAAATTCTGTCCTGGGAAAGCGCAAAACATGCTGCATCGTCGTCCAAGTTCAACCATGCTTTCCCAAAATGGCAAATCCTCTTTTACAGTCATTGAAGGAACAACTTGTATTTATTAGTTATGTCTACCTATGACGTTCGTACATGCCTTCATATGTTACTTCAACATCGGGACCGGTTCTTGTGTCTTGCACCTGCCATTTTTTGATACTTGAGGAAATTTCTTCAATTGCCTATAGCCCATGTTACTTGTGTCTCGATTTCCAAAAACCTAGTTCTTGCATCATAGACCTAATTCTTGAGTCTTAGCCATTCTTACAACTTCTTTCGAGTCTGTGATCAGTGCGATTCGGCCCAACAACTATTTGATGCTCATCGATCTAGTTAGATGGTCAATTGAGAAAACATCTCCTTCAAATCCTCCATCTGTCATCGCCATTATGCCAAATAAAAAGCACAAAAAGTCTTTCCATGTCTACGAGGATCATGACGCCACTAAACCAGAATACTGTACTGGCGATTTTCTCTGCTCCCTCTGTTTCAAAGACAGTACAACTCTAGGCCCTTGCACTGCATGCTGTAAAGGATGTCCAAATTGCGGTACTCTACTTAGTGAATCGTTGAAACGAGAACAAGATGCAGTTGTGCATCTCACCAAGTCGGAATCAACAACAAATTCGCTATTCCAGATCCCATCTAACAGTGGAACTCTAACTACCAAGGCCAGTAGTCAATCTATTAGTACTAGAGATGCAACTAAATCATCATCTCCGCCATCTTATATCTGTGAACGGGGGCTCCCTCCAGATAATGGATATCAAACATCCATCCCTACGACTCCTATTCGGTCCCAATACATTTCTAAAAACAACAGCCCGGCTTTACCTGGTCGCCATAGTGAATTCCACTCGCCCATCAGCCAACAACAACGCAGTCCACATATTTCCCCACGCGTCATGCTAAATCACCAGCCTTCCCGCAATAGCAAGAGTCTATCTTTGACTGGCAGCCAAGATTCGCTCATACCAATTTCACCAGCGGGAACATACATCGGCCAACAACGCAGCCCGAAAGCATCTCAATACGGCATTCGAACACATGCTGATAAGTTAAGAGCTGCATTAGCATGTCCAATCGATGAACTTCCCCAGATAAAGTACAAGCCGTCGAGAAAGACTCCTTTGAGGAAGAAGATAGGCTTGCTTTTGAGAAGATTTCAGGTAAAATGAAGTGCTCGATCCAATGCACCAAAGCGAGCACTGACTTTCCCTCGTAGTACAAGTTTGAGAAGCCCTTGGTTACAAGCAACCATCAGTTGATTACGAGCAGTGATGATGATTTGAAGTAGTTTAGGGATGAAGAACGTAAGCTTATGTGTATCTCACAACAAGCACAGTTGCAGATGTTTAAATCCCAATTTACAAACTCAACATCACACCAATCCCAACTGACCACTCTAACCCGACCTTTAAAGCCCCATTTCACTAATATGAACAATAGGTAAATGATAACCTGCGCCAGAAAATGAAAGCAAAAGTATCTTGGAGCAACAGAAGATGTACTGTCCACAGCGAATATTTTGGTGGAGCTTTGTCGAAGAAAGAATATTGTGTATGATATACCCAACCAGCGTTTAAGTTTTAATGATAATTTCAATTGCAAATTGATTGTCTTTGGAATGTAATTGCGATCCATGGTGCGTGATAGGCTGGCTATATGTAATGTCCGATTTCACTTACTGTCTAGACAGATCATGGTGTTGTACTGCAGGAAAACAATACAAGAGCACAGTCTCAAATGCAGCACTGGAAAGTAAAGAACTAAGGTGACTGGTGACTCTCGCCCCGATACATATCACTGAATAAAGTCACAGTATTGGGGTGAAATACACATGGAATATACAAGGGAAGTTTGTATAATGATTGAAATCAGTCCGGCCAAGGCTTTAGTATGAATTGATTTCAAAGCCTATTCGTGTCTACAAATATATCCTTGATCATCCTGAACGCCAGCAATGCTACGCTTTTGAGTTTCTATACTTCGTTTCATAATTTCGATGTCTTTCACATCTTCATCCCCATAAGTCTTGAATCAATCAATATTCCTTCAGATCACCCTTCTTGCCACTAATCCTGTGCTCGGTCGCGTCCGAATCCCAAGTATTCATGATATTCATCTTGGGGTTTTGATTCCCCGCCTTTGCTCTTCCCAGAGCTTCATTTGCAAACCCCCTGAATCTGCCAGTATCACCCTCGTCTACAACAACTTCAATTTCCCAGTAATCTGATCAATAACACTCTTTGGCGCAGGACCAATTCCCAAAACAGTATGGCTCCCACTCGCAATTTGAGTTCTACCCGCATCCGCAATCTGCTCGGCCACAACCCCCAGACTAATAGCTTGCGCCTGTAAGATTTGCAATTCATCTTCAGACTTTACTTGCAGTGCGACCTTTGCCTGACCTTCCCGTTCCCAGCGTCGTAGAATCAATGCATTGGCGGGTTGGCGCGAGATAGTTTTGTAGCAGGCGAGTGTGGCGTGAGAACATTGTGCAGCGATTTTTCCTAGAGAGTGGGTTGTTAGATCGGAAGGTATCTCAATATTATGGATAGCGGGAATGGAATCAATAACGCACCTTTTGTCATGCCCAAATCCGTTCTCACAACCAAGACCAATTTACATTCTTCTCCGGTATCCACAGGTCCGCCTTCACTCTTCTCCTTCTTCTCCTTCTTCTTCTTCTCGCTCTTTTTCGCAGTATCGTTTTGTGCTACACGTAATCCATCTCGTTTATCTGCTTCTAATCCATTGGACCAGTTGGGCGCATGGTCTAATATAGATGCATCGATATCTTCTTCCTCGCTTTCCTCCTCATCGTCATAATTCGCGATTCCTCGTTCCTTGGGTGCTCGCGGCATAAAAGGAATTGGGAAGAATCCAAGACTAGACGCAATTCCAATCATATATCCACTGAGACCGGCTATGATGGCGGTGCCGATTAGCATGGCCGTGGGAGTGGGTGGTGCACGCATATCTGCCATAATTAATCTGGAAACTTTCCGACTGGAAAGCTATGTGTTGGATGAAGAGACAGCTGCAAATTCTCAAATGGAATGAAAGTTGGATGAAGTTAAGCTGCAGGGATTATTTTTGTGGAAGTCTCGGTAGCTCTCTCTGCTATGTCTTACCTCGATACGTTGTCAAGCTGTCAAGAATTTTCAGCCTTAAACATCAGGGAACACGTTCTAGAACCTCGAAAGCTTGGGATTGACACATTCTGAAAGCCTCAAATTTCAACAACATTAATTCGGCGCACCAATTCCGTCCCCCGTGTTGCCTGGACTTTCGGGGCTTCAAAGTTGAGATGTGCAACAAATTAATTGGGAAATGAAAGTCGTCCGGGATTGTCTAATCTAGGTATGCATGAAGGCCATGAATCTGGTTTTCGACGCTGCCAATTCGATCTTTTGTTTATATTGCTTGTTTTCTGCTTCTTGTTTAGAATTTCACATCATATGTGCCAATGGGATTTCAATCGTGATTGATAAATATTGAAATGCGAAAAGTTCTCGAAAAACATATTGCGGAGATCCGATGGAGCACGATTGAAAGGGCAGACAAGGTCTATTTTCGTAAGAGCACGAGTAACTTCTGTGCCTTCAATTGAATGAGTTACTCGGCTTCAATTGACTGGGAGACTTTCCATAGTCCCCAAGCTGGTCTACTGCATTGAGAGCCGGTGTTGTAGAAGATAAGAAGAGGGCTTCATTGTGGGAAACTTGTTCGAGCATTGATTCCACATATATGACGAGAGCAGCCTCGATTTTCACGTCTATTGCGTATATTTAGACCTCGCATCATCTTCGAATTCAAATCTCAGTATATAGTTACATTGAGGGTTATGGGGGGTCCATTCTTCCACTCCCTCATCATAGGAACGATGGGCCTGAATGGAAGTCGGCCCAATTAGCCTGATATTATTTTCGCCTCATCTTCTTCTTCTACTTTCATCAACCATGCTGGATAATTCATCTTGTTTCCTAGGATTTGTTCTCTTTATTTTGGTTGTTGCTTTTGATACATCCTGACCAAGAAAGTTCTACAGTACTATCATCATCTTTGAAAGCTTTTTGTTAATCCATCATCATCTGGTGATACAAAGGTAGATCATGAATCTTTTGGAAAACTTCTTTTACTCAAATGAGTATTCATAGACAACAAAATTATAGAATGCAGATGGCATGGCCATCTATCCCAAGAACTACAACAATTCTTATCTACGAGTGCTCTATGAGCAACAAGACAATGTCATCTAGTGATGTTAAATGGGATAGTGTAATTGTCCCGATCAATTATAACAACCATCATGTTTCACTACACAATAACCAGACAACACATTCACGTTTATTGGCTTATCTGAATAGTAATAACTTTGCTTTTTCCTGCTTTTGTCATTGCAATATAAACTCCTTATGTAGATGATTCCGATACCTTGCTTTCAGGATGATGTGGTCTAAGTATGAGCAATTCGCGGGAATAGTTCAAAACAAAGCAGCTAAAACATATATTGAAAGCTGTCTTTCCATCAAATCTATGATTAAAGGATGTTCAATTTGTCGCATTGATCAAATAGAAGCAACAGAACTTGGATATTATAATCGATCGCCTAAGGTTAAGGAGGTCGTAGCATCCAGAAGAAACCTGTACGGCAAATTTGTTTGACCCGCTACCTACTGGCATAGTTCAACCTCATTCAATAGTATCTTTCTAAGCTTCGAAAGTGGCAATGGATCAGGCAATAGTTATTGACGATGATATTGCTATTATCATGATTGAAGATGACGACAGAGATGAAGTGGTGATTCTAGAACGAGGTAGGTTAGCCCGTCCTAATTTTGCTTGCTCTCGTCCTCTTGTCTCACAGGTATATCTATGCTGATACCTCGCAAAAGCTCCCAGTATGTCCCCAATACACTTTTCCAACGCCGAAATCAGAAATCGAACTTCACGTCCAAATACCAGAGAACATTTCACTGGATCAACCCTTAGATCCCAGTTCGACAATTCTCCTGCACCTGGCCATTCAGTTAATCTCCCTTCCATTGACTTGACGACTGCTGTGGCTTCTCGTAGCACGAAACCCAAAGAGAGCAATAGTCCTGGAGATAGAGTTTGCAGTGTCTCTACTAGTCTTCCAGGCTTCATAATACAAGAAGAGGGGTACGAATCGTCAAGGCCCTGGAATATCGCGGCTGAAGCGAGAACGGATCAAGGAACATCACAAGATCGCATTCGTCTCTCAAGACGTCGGGGTACCAAAGAAGGCACTTTCAGCCCTCGCAACGAAATGGTTGCCAATTCTCGGAACACGTCTCATACTCATTCTATGCCTGAGCGTCGCTCTTCCAATGCAAGTTTGATGTCGATTTCAGATAAGGGGGGCGGAGACGAAGAGAAAACGTCTACTACCCAAGATATGACCTCGCACACATTTGATAACGCCGTTATAATCGAAGACAGCGACGACTTCGAATTCAAGCTCGAATCTCAACTCCTAGAGAAACCCGAGTTCGAGTTCTTGCGCTCTGTTAGTGTGAGTGAAAAGCCGAAACTTAAAGTCGTTCCATTACGCAATCCTCCAATTGCCAGCCCTTATTTCGAGTGCGAAACTTATTTGTGTGGAAAGCACACCTTAAGGCCAGCGAAGACTGTAGAACTGGAGGATGGCGATTTTATTTACATTAAGCACATTGTGAAGTACATCAAGCCTGAAGACATTCGTGGTCTTAGTCTTGACAACACCCAAAATGCTTCCATCACTATTCGGGGATTCCGATTACAAAGATGCAAGTACCTCAACGGCATGCTGGAAAAGAAGATGAATGAAGTCTGTCTATGTTACGAAATTGACTTAGATGACCCACGGGCACCAGAAGAGCAGAGTCTTGTCGAAGTACCTTTGAGCTCTGTGAAAACTCTACGTAGTCTTCGTTGGACAAATTATAGCTACCCAAAGTATCGCAACCTGAATCGTGATGCTACCTGGACCGATGGAGATACATACATCAAAGGGGGGCTTACTGTGCGCTGGAAATACACTTGTAAATATGTATCAGCTTCAGCTAGAGAAAAGAACATATATGCAGAGAGAACCCTAGAACGGATCACCGAGGGATGGTTGTCATCAATACATCAAAGCACGCAATCACATCTAGCCTCAAGCATTCAACTTCGAATTGAATGGCGTGGAGAAACGGTTCCTGGTGGTACTTATATACCAGAATGCTACGATGTTGATGGAGAGGAAAAAGCGACCGAAGTCCAACAACCTCAAAATCCTGCCGTGGTCGAGGATACCGAAAGTCCTCCCGAAACATTCATAATCGTCGACGAGGACGACGATGATGATGATGATGATGACGATAGTGCTTCTTCACCTGCTAGGCCCCAACAATATGAGGCAGGTGTAGTTCAAACCAAACGCAAGTCAGATTTCTCGTCCTCTTCAGATCGAGATAGTGACCAAGAAGACAACAAACCAGCAAAGAGAGCCCGCCAAGTTCCCGAGGACGATATCGAACAGATTAGGCAGCGTCTGGGTCGGGTTAAGCTTACGTTCAACGGTAAAGAATACGTGAAGCAGTCTTACAACATCGGGACATTGTCAGAGATGGTTCTGAAGAGTGAACCTAAAAGCAAGCTGACCTCTACTCAACAAATTCGTGATACGAATAGACCAGCTGGAGGCCTTCGATCTAACAGAGGTGTTCGGCCAAGATTGAGGGGTCGCTTAACTTTGCCGAGAAGAAGTGCCCTTAACTCTCGAGGTCCCTATCCTGAGGCTAGTATTCCACTGCCCTCCTGCCCAGCTCCATCTCCAAAAATTCCTCCTCACCTCGAGATATCTTCATCCGAGTTAGCCTCTCCACCACCTAGCGGAATTGTCGACCTATCATCTCACCAATCCCGAGCTTCCTCATTAATTTCGGCTCACAGCTCAAGGCCGCCCTCACTCAAAGAAGCACTCGTTCTGGCTCCCGAACAAACCTTTACTTACGGCGATGCATTCTGTGGAGCAGGCGGTACCACACGTGGTGCAGTCATGGCAGGCCTCCGCGTAAAATGGGGTTTCGACTTCGATCAGCACGCCTGCACAACCTGGCGTCTCAATTTCCCCGGCGCGACTTGCTACGAGATGTCATCTGAACGCTTCGTTTCTCTAGCTACTTCTTCCCCGTATTCTTCAGACATCCCTAATGACGTCAAAGTTGATATTCTTCATCTTTCACCTCCGTGTCAATATTTTTCACCTGCGCATACAGTCGAGGGAAAGAATGATGAGATGAATACTGCGAGTTTGTTTGCTGTAGCTGCCGTAATCAAAGTTGCGAAACCCAGGATTGTGACGTTGGAACAGACATTTGGGATTTTATATCCGAGGTTTAGAGGATATTTTTCGAGTCTGGTTTGTATGTTTACTAGTTGTGGGTTTTCGTTAAGGTGGGCCATCGTGCCTTTGGCTCAATGGGTGAGTTCCTCCTATGTTCTACGCTTTAGCGAGCTAGATTTACTGACTACTTATTGAGGGACTTCCGCAAAGACGGTTCCGTTTGATTATTATCGCATCATGGTAACTTCTTTTGAGGAGTATTCCATTCTTACAGTTTAACTAACAATTACTTAGCCCTGGCGAGCCCCTCCCCCCTATGCCACCACCAACACATTTCCAAACCCCCTCTCCCCTCTCTCCTCTCCACAAAACCCGTCCTTTCAAAACCGTCTCCCAAACTCTCCGCGAAATCCCCAAATCCGCAGCAAACCACTCACCTCACCTTCTTCCAGAAAAAGATCTCAAACCATACAATCCCCACGCGATTCTTCCACGCACAATGACTACCAGCGGTGGTGATAACTGGCATCCGAGCGGGAAACGAGGATTTACTGATCGAGAATTCGCTTGTTTGCAAGGGTTCCCCTTAGAGCATAAGTTCGGACAGAATGGGATTAAAAGACAGATTGGGAATGCGGTGCCGCCGGTTGTGGCGAAGGTGTTGTTTGAGGGAATTAGAAGGTTCATGGAGGGGACAGATGGGGTTGTGAGGGATGAGGGAGATGAAAATGGAGGTGAGAACGGTTATGGGGAGGTGGACGATAAGATGGATATATGCGAAGATATCGACATGGACAGAGTGCACATTGAGGATAGTGATGATCGAGTAGAGATCGTGGATCTTGTTGACGAATCGGACGATATGGATTAGAAACAAAAGCTAGGAGTGTGTTGAGCGAAGAGAGTGATGACGAGATTGAAATTATTGGGGTTGCGGAAGTGAGAAAGCATATTGTTATTGATTAGGTACCTAATTAGTTGAGAATCTCAACTTGAGATGAGGGTACAAGGCGTGGGGGAGGCGTTTTCAAATTGCATAGATTATTAATGTTTGTCTCTCACCATCTGATCATGCTTTACAAGGTAAAAATCTGGCTAGTCAAGATATATCAGTGCCTGGATCGAGCAAGGAGAAACTCCTTCGAAGTCCTGATAAACTAGAAGTCATTTTTGAAATAATTTCTTCGAAAGTTCCACATGACTGCAGAGGTCACTTGCACAGTTGTTTCAACGAAGTATTCTACAATTTTCCACTGTATGTATACCTTACCCGGCAGTCGTGAATAGCACGACTATCGCTATAATGATATCACTGCTGATGTCAGATTGTTAGACAGCATGGGCAGCTACTGTTGTCCTGCGATTTCACTATCTATTTTTCAGGGAGCATAACATTATTGCGACAGTATGAGTAACGACTCCAGGTGTATGCAGAAGGCATGGATATGTTCCAATAATATAGTACTGAGAACTATGCAAAACTTTTCAACTGGTGAGATCCATGCCGAGTAGGTGAAACTCGAGCCGATACTGGGCGAGACAGAGCAGGTAGGCAGATTTCTTATTCCATACCCCCTCCTTCTCATGTCCATTTTGAACAGGAAGAGTGCAAGTCAATCAGACAATCAGCACCCAGAAGAGCATCTCATTTCTTCATTTCGCAGATAACATACATTCTCCTCGCCACATATGTCATGTGCACATAGTAGCTAGTCATTTGACTGTTGGTAGCTAAATATTCAGCGTTTTCGACAATTACACCATTACAGAACTGCTCCATTGTTGGAGCACACCCTAGACGAAAAGGAGAGGCACAATGACGAATTGAAAAAACTTCTATCTCAGTAGCATATAATTTAGTTTTGGTGCATTTTACAGTGTAGAAAATACCAAAAATTGGAGATCCTTTAGATGTCATTGTGATTGGTGCGTGTCGGGCCGTAGCCTCAAAGTCGACAAGCTCGCTACTCCAATATGCTCATCTATGTGAATATTCACGTCAAATTTGGACAGGAAACACCTATCAAGACCTCTATTCGATTTGAGCATCACTTGATGTTCTGATATAGACTGACAATGCGAGTCATCACTCAACAATTTACCGCATAAACAACATGATTGTATTAGTGACAACCATCACTAATTGATATCGATGCTAGTGAGCAGTAATATAACAACTTGTATTGGGTATTTTAAAACTTGTATTCTTACATATTTGCCTCATCGTGCCAGCCTAGCCTATTCACCAAAACCCCATTTGTACCATCCAGTAGCGATCCAATATCCTTGATCTCGCTACTGTCATTCTATACGCCAATGCAGTACCAATTCCATACCCGAGCCACTAACTCAGGCTCTTGTAAGTCCCACATGAAGATCAATTGTACAGGGTATGAGTAGATAAAGAGAAATTGTGTTCTTCGGCTCTTCTGCGATCTTGCAACTGTTTGCATGGTCCCTCGCTCATCAGTTGAATTTTCGGGAAGCAATACGTATTTTAAGGATCGTAACTGGTACATCTGTCAGAGGCACGGAAAGAATAACATTTAGGGGGGAAACATACCAGAAACAAAGCGTTGGCGAGGAAAGTGTAACTGAAAATAGTCCACCCAATCCAACCGCCAGTTCCTTTTCCGCCGTTGATGATCTCACTGACAACCAAAGTGGCAATAACTCCAACGAACTTATATCCAGAGTAGGCGACCAAATCAAGTAGCTGGGACTCGTTCGAAATTGATAGGAGGTAACATCCAAGCTTCAATCCCAGAATTTCAATAAACACAATAAAAAATGCCCATCCTGCCGTTGATCCAAGAAGCTCTGGTTGAAAAGCTCCTCTGAGGCCGGCCAAAAGTGTGGAAAGGAGGATATAAGTTACAAGTGCCATTACTGTGAAGAGGTCAATTTATGGATTTCGTGCGCGGGCTATTAATCATACCTGGAATATACATATCTGGACTATTGAGATCATCTCTTGGAGGTAAAAACCACCCCTCTTGACCACTGGGACCAATCGATTGTTTTCTTGACCAAGGCTTATGTCTCCATGGGAATAGGACTAAAAATAGCTTGTTGACTACATATCCATTCGAGACATTGAAGTAATGTTTCAGCGCCGAAACATTGACATATCGAGTGAACTATCTAGTTATCAGAACTTCATCTTCAATATGTATCCTCATATACTAACGTTTTGTTCCACATATTCTGTTCCATGTTTTAAAGCTGTTTGTCCAACTTGGAATCCCATTTGCGCCGTGGGATCATTTATAAAGCCTCCATATGCGCCGAATGCGCCAGCATTCCCTGAAGCTTGTGGTTGATAGGGGTTTCCATAGCCTGATTGATGCTGTTGTTGTGGCATTGGGGGAGGTGGTGATCGTAGCTGAGGGACTGTAGAGACATGTTGAGGTACTGGGTGATGGAGAGGGGGAGAGTTTGCTGGTGGGAAGTTCCCATAATTTGATCTTTGCATATTGGCGATATGGCAGAAGTAGACGTACGGCGTCTGCTGCGATTAATAGTATTGGAAGTGGAATAATAAGGGGGTGGAAAGTGGTATAACTATCATACAATAAGTAAGAATCGCGCCTAGGTCGAACACATTTCCATAAAGCATTGAGCTTTGGGTGGCTGCTATAAGCATATAGGGCGGCCGCTTTATCAGTCGACGTTTATCGTCTTATCGGTGATGCTTGGCACAATCATTCTGCGTGCTTTTAGAAGAAAGTGTCCATATGAATCCATAATCTTCTTTGATGGACTCCTTTTAATAGTGCCACAGTGTTACATTCTACGAATCTATTGTTACGACTCTCACGGCTGTTACGAATTTCTAATACTCAAGATGTTGGATACTTTTGAGATCCTCACCACTTCTGGAGTGGTACTCTGGTCGAAACAATTTTCCCCCGTCAGCCCTGCGGTTATTAACAGCCTTATCACGAATGTCTTCATTGAAGAACGAACCTTACCCGGTGCCGGAGTTGCAGATGATATTTCTGCTGCGAATAATCCTCCTTTCAAACATGATCAGCATACTTTGAAATGGACGACATGCAAAGAGTTAGGCTTAATATTTGTGGTATGTAAAAGTAGTCCTGTGGCGCAACGAATCTTATGGAATTTTTGAGGCATCTCGTGCTAACTTGTCTTGCAGGTTGTGTACAGGTCATTGCTACATCTGTCGTGGATTGACAAATTGGTAGATAATGTCAAAACGATTTTCGTGGACTTATATGGTGATCAATTGAGAAAACCACACACAACTGTTGTCGAATGTCCTTTCGATGAATATTTCGACCAACAAGTGCGGGAGTTGGAGAAGAGTGCTTTGAATCAGGATGCTAGAGTTGCAGAGGCTTCTGCATTCGAAGAGTCGATTCCTTTGATTTCTACGACCTCGGACAATGAGCCTCCGCCAATGCCTGGATTACCCTCGAGAGGTATGCGCCAGTGTTTCTCTCAAGCGCAAACTTACTAATATTCCATAGGACAATCAAAGAATAGTGTCACAGATATCCCTTCCCCCGACTCGACTCCTCTCGGAACACCTAATTCACGACCGAGTACACCTGCGAGCCACATATTGAGCGCGAAAGCAGGACCGGGTGGAAAGGTTTCTCGAAGAGCTAGAAAGGCAGCCCAGACCCCTACGTATGCTTCATCCGGCGACGAATCCCACAGAAAGGGTAGAAGTGTAAAAACCGGACCAAAGAAGGGAAGGAAGTGGGATGCAGACGGAATGGCAGATGAGGATAGTGATACCCCCTCGACTATTCTGCGCCCGCAAACGGTGCTACTTCTGGGGAGGACGAAGGTCGCCCGGGTGCTGTGGAGGGAGTTGAACAAACCTCATGGGGTTCAAAAACTGGAAAGGGGCAGTTCGTATTGAAGGATCTTGAAGACGAAGTCCATTCGATTTTAGATTCCGCGAATGCGAAGAAGGCGGAGTCTAGCGCCCCAGCAGCTGGCCTAGTAGGATCTAGTTTCAGTGCTATTGGAGGATTATTTAGAAATGTAGTTGGAGGAAAGACTTTGACTAAGGAAGATTTGGACAAAGCCATGAAGGGAATGGAGGATCATTTATTACGAAAGAACGTCGCAAGAGAAGCCGCGATGAGATTATGCGAGGGTGTAGAACGGGAATTAATAGGAGTGAAGACTGGAAATTTTGAGAGTATGTATTGCACACATGATTTTCGCTCAAGCGGCACTAACCATTTGCAGGTGTTCAAACAAGAATCGCAACAGCCATGGAGGCATCACTAAGAAAAATTCTGACTCCTACCTCATCCCTTGATCTCCTTCGAGAAATCGATTCTATTGTCTCACCTCCAGCTTTGTCGTTAAAGAAAAAGAGGCCGTATGTCATGTCCATTGTCGGAGTAAATGGTGTTGGTAAATCCACAAATCTTTCCAAGATCTGTTATTTTCTTCTACAAAACAAGTACAAAGTCCTCGTTGTAGCTTGCGACACCTTCAGATCCGGAGCCGTCGAACAATTAGCCGTTCACGTACGAAATCTGAAAGAACTTACCACCAGAGAAGGTGGCCAAGTAGAGCTGTATCAAAAAGGCTACGGAAAAGACGCCGCTAACGTAGCCAAAGACTCCGTCTCCTTCGCTGCTCAAGAAGGCTACGATGTAGTTCTAATCGACACAGCCGGACGACGTCACAATGATCAACGACTCATGTCCTCGCTTGAAAAATTCGCTAAATTCGCTCAACCGGATAAAATCCTCATGGTAGGCGAAGCACTCGTTGGCACAGATTCAGTCGCGCAAGCAAGAAACTTTAATGCAGCGTTTGGCCAGGGCAGATCTCTAGACGGGTTCATTATCAGTAAATGTGATACCGTGGGGGATATGGTGGGCACCCTGGTTAGCATGGTCCATGCTACAAATGTACCGGTGCTGTTTGTGGGCGTAGGTCAACATTATAGTGATTTGAGGAATTTGAGCGTCAAATGGGCGGTGGAAAAATTGATGGCCGGGAATTGAATTATATGATGTGCTTCCTCGCTTTAAATCGTCATTCTAGTACTTTTAATGCTACATATACCTAGCTATCTTCAGCTTGTGCAAATACACGAATTAAGAATCCCACCTTATCACGTACAAATCAGATATCCGAATTCAATTGGAACGAAAATGCAAAAAGCCCAATCATTGACTCTCTCATCCGATCCTCCTTGAGACCACATTGGAAAGATGTATCAGCTCTTATTAGATCATTGTCTGAGACTCGATGGTAGACATAAGAAGATCCTAAATCTAACTCCCATTTATTCTCTTCCTTCCATTCTATTCCTTTCTTTTCTGCTGAAGTCATCCATCGATCTCTGAATAGCAGGTTGTAAATGATCCACACAAAATCCACAACAAATTCGAAACATCTGTCTAGGTAACATGAAAATTGACGAATGAGAGTAGGGGCAAGGGGGAAGGTATTGCAAGGAAACATGTGCACTGAGTATACCTACCTAATGAGCATCGAAGCTGTGCCAAGCTTGGGACTTGGGGCTTGAAATTTTTGATAAGAGGGTTAGTGAGGGGTAACCGATCACACGAGTGTAGAATTCTGTGGTAGGCACCTTATACGAGGTGGCCTCGTTGAAGAGTTTGGGGTTATAGTGATGGTAGTATGAGTTGAGATATGATGGTATGTGTAAGTCCGTACCAAGACAGTAGATAGATGAGATAGCAAGAAATATTGAGTTGCCATCGAAGTCCTGAATATTCGAAAGGAAAGGAAAGAGAATACTTTACAACTCATTGGTCTGTTTCTCACTCAAATAGACCACACTAGGAATCAACGCCATGCACGTTTGTTCTTATATAATACCATTATTATTTTTAAACCCATAAATCGTAAACTCATATCATCTAGCAAACCGCTCTATGTACTCCATCGCTCATTGGTCTGTTACCACCCTTTCCTTGTCCCTTTCCATGCTTATGTCCCACACTTCCATGATTCTTCTCCGCGCTTCCATGTCCCTTACTCAAGTGTTGACTCAAAATACTCAAATCTTGCTTATCATTCTCGATCAAATTCTGCGTCGTGGCACAAATATCCGAAATCAATCGATCCAATAGATCAAAACTCATACTCTCTCTGACTACCACTCTTAAAATCTCAGTCTTTTCCTCGTTAGGAGGAAGTGGATAGTTGGGAATGATATATTGTTTAGCGCGGAGAAGATTAGAGATAGTCTCTTGCTCAATGTGTGGAAATTCTTTCTTGAATTCGTCTGAGAAACGGAAAGCGACGACAGGGAGACCGGCGTTGTAATCAGCAGAGGTTTCGTCTTCTTTGCTGAAAACAGGGGCGCTTAGACCTTGGAATGTGTGTTCACCTTTCTTGCGGTGAATGTCAGAGACGCATGTGTACCATCCAGTGGCTTCGAGAGATTTGGAAAGGAGACGGGCGTTGCTCATGCAATTTTCCATGATTTGACGGTAACCATTGAAACCGAGATGGATGAGGTTATAGTATTGAGCGATGACTTGAGCACCTGGTCGAGAAAAGTTAAGAGTATAAGACTCTTCTGTTCCACCTAGATAATGGAGTTCGAAGACAAGATGTTTGGGTAGGTAAGACTCGTCGCGCCAGATGATCCAGCCTACACCTGCATAGACGAGACCGAATTTGTGACCGGATGTGTTGATGGATTTTACTCGTGGGAGCTCGAAGTTCCACTTTGGACCGCCAGCTTTAGCATGGGTGAATGGAGCTACAAAGCCTCCGGACGCAGCATCGACATGAATTGGGATATCAACTCCAGTCTTGGCTTCATAGTCATCTAAAATCTTGGAGATTTCTTCAACCGGTTCATAATGACCGGTGTATGTACTTCCTAAAATAACGAAAATACCAATAGTGTTCTCATCGATATTCTCCTTGACCAATTCCGGATCAAGTCTGAAGTTTGACTTTTCAGAAACAGGAAGAATTCTAGCCTCGACCTCAAAGTATCTGGCGAATTTCTCAAGAGCTACTTGAGCATTCGATCCCATGATGATATTTGGCTTGGATTTATCTTTTCCTTCAGCCTCACGCTTTTCTTGCCAACGTCTCTTCATAGCCAAACCACCAAGATGGATAGCTTCTGAAGAACCAGTTGTTGCAGATCCAATAGCTTTCTCTCCCTTTTGTGCTCCCCAAAGATTAGCGATAATGGAAACACAACGGGTATGCATTTGCATCATTGCTGGATATTCGTCTGCATCGGACATGTTCTTTGAAATATTCTCGAACATTAATTGTTCAGCATGAGTTTCCATGTATGTACCCACGAAACTGATGACGAGGTTAGCAATTTTCAACCGGCTTCACGTTCCTCTAATGATCTAATCAATTGAACATACCTTGCCAAATTTAAATTAGGTCTGCCATCGAGATCCAATTCATCCTTCAACATTTGATGAACAGCATCTGCTGGTGCTCCGTCTTTAGGTATTTCGAACTTGGAGATTTCTTGTTTGGAAGCATATCGAGTCGAGTATGGTGTAATATGGGAGGTTCCTCCTTTGGTATGTACATGTTTTTGACCGGCTTCCTTCATATGCATATTCTGTAGATTTTGAATGATCTGATCTGGGTCGACCTGAGTTGAAGATACGGTCAGTATGAGGAGCTAAGCATTGAAAGCTTGAGATAACATCAACTTACATGGCGTGCGAGAGACATGGTGATTATGTTAGATTAAAAGTTGCAATGGTGGTATAGTATTTGAAATTTCTAGCAGAGTATGGGGGAAATTGTATGTCAATAGTATTGAGAAGTTTGAGGAGGAAGAAAAGGTTGATTTGAGATGTCAATTCCTAGCTGGCAACACAGCAGCTTTATTGAAAAGCATCGAACAAGCCCACTCACTTAGCAGAACCACCTTACTGAAAATGACGACATCTGATGTGGACTCAATTGTAACTTGCAAGCACGGGCAAGCACCAGCCACTAACCACCCAAAAACCACATAAAGAGAGTTTCTTTTACCTGATAAATACTTGTTAATCCAATTGAAGGGGCTTTCCAAACATGCTATTCATAGAAGCATGGATTGATTCATGGTGAAGTTTGACTGCTTGAGATCGAAAAGCTCCGCCAAGCGTCATAGTGGCTCCACGGCATATATGGTGAAAAAGCTTGTTTCGTAACCCTGCTATGAGGCCTCAAGTTGTGGAGCTACCCCTGAGTGTGAAAACTCTCGAAGCCTGAAATAACAATAATGGAGGTGGTATTGATTGAGAAGTTTCATTCATTGTGATTAGACCGGGCCAAATGAAGCTCAAAAACGCGATGAGATGGTTGGAGCTATGGTGGAAGGTGTTCCAGGTGTGTTAGATGTCAGGACCAGGAACGAATTGATCGATTTTGTGTTTCCTATGCTGTTCCCCACAATTGCATCCTCTTATCGTTATCGTTCGATGATGGTGAGGTGAAGTAAGTGTCCGTAAGGTGGTAACCAACTTCGAGCCAGATTCTATCAGGCTTTTTGAACCGCAAGCGTATCTACGGAGTAGACCTTGTTAAGCCTATTGTAGCAAAAATGACTATGGGTGTAGATAGTCAGAACTTGTACAGTTATTACAGTAAAAACCCTCTCTATGAGGATCACTTAGATAAGGATAACCTCTTTATGAGGATGTATTCTTCAGCCACGGGATATGACCCGATCGGGACTCATCGAACACCTCTTTACAAGAATACCTCTACATATCCTTTAGAAAGCCTACCAAAAACCGGTATCCTGACAGAAGTTTTACTATATAGAATAAATCAACCTCTTCCACCTCCCTCTGCAACTTGGATACTGAACACTGAATACCCACAACACTAGGTGGGTATCTAGCACTCCCCCTCACAGCAGCTAGAACTACTTACATCAAATAGGCGAGTAACTTCCGCGCCTCCTGTCTGATGTCTCCCTCCTGTTTCTTACCAGACAGATACGAGACGAGAGACTACAACCACTCAACCGCTGCACAACTTTCATTAAAATCTTACACAAAATGCCACCTACAATTGTTCATCTACATCGTCAATGATTCGTCATACAATATCTTCATCGGAATGAGCGGACTTTCATCTCACACCTTGTCCGTCGGTCTTTACAACCTCCGATCGAGGGGTAAATGTCAAATGAACAAAAGTGATTGGCTGGTAAGCTGCATCAAGCAACAAAGCATCATAACGCCTCCTCCTTCTCTTTGGATCGATGATGTTATGGATTTCGTCTTCTTACAAAGAAACACGCAAGCATTGACTGCCTTCTAGTCCTTCTTTGGTACGAATACGCGTATTGAAACAACACAATGCTTGACAAGCAAACGCTTGACTTTTGAGAGGAATATATGTCAATTGACTTCGCAATATCTATCGGTTTCTCATGTTTGTTTGACTTCTGTCGGTGTTCTTGATATACCCACATCACATTGATTAAAGTTTCATTGCCAAATTGACTGGTTGGTTGGCCTTCGCCTCAATCTTCTCAGCAAACGAATCGAACCCGAGCCGAGTTGTCTCTGTTTCAAATCATTTACGCGGCGTGAGAAGGCGTCATTGAATCACTAGTACCTTGGCCCTGATCACAGCATTCCATTGTATTTATATCTACTTCCTTTATTCCCGCCTCATTTCTCTTCTGACATTTATCAATCATATCAATATGAGGTTCTCAACTACTCTTTTGCCCTTTGCGGTAGTTTCTACTGCCTTCGTTATTCCTGACGAACAGATAACCAGTCAGATCATTGTCGAATCTCAGAAGTCCTCAAAGACATGGCTTGATAGAATTCCAGAAATTAAAGACAGCCTTATCTCTCATGCCGGAAGTTCCTTGAAAGATGCAGTTGCATTCAGCGAGAATGCCTTTGACAACGCTATCGATACCCTTTCCGAGGCTGGTCAAAAAGCCCAGAATGTCATCGAGTGTCACCACTCAATGTCAAAGTTTGATATATCCGGCTGGTTAGACTCTGCCATTTCTGCCGTTGAAGATGTCGATATTTTCGATCACCCTCATGAGAAGCCTCCACATCACGAGAAGCCTCCACGCCATGGAAAACCTCCTCACCACCCAAAGAACCCACACCACGGTCATGGAAAGCCTAACAAGACTGTCTATGAATTGATTGCTAGCAGCAAGTACACTACCAAACTTGCAGAGCTTATCAACGAATATCCAGATCTTGTTGATGCTTTGAACGGCACGGCAGCAAACTACACCGTATTTGCACCAACCGACAAGGCTTTTGAGAAGATTCCAGAACATCACAAGAAACCTTCAAAGGAATTGATCAAGGCTGTCCTTGAATATCACGTATCTCCGGATTTCTACCCTGCTGGTCGTGTCCTCGTTTCGCATACTATTCCAACCGCATTGAAGGAAGGCCGTCTCGGTGACGAACCTCAACGTCTTCGTGTCGGTTTGGGTTTGAAGGGATTAGCCGTCAACTTCTACAGCAGAGTCATTGCTGTCAATATTGTATGTTCAATCGTCTCTTCCCACATCAACATAATACTAACCTGAATTTCAATAGTTCGGTACAAACGGAGTAATTCACGGCGTCGATTCACTTCTCCTACCACCTCCCCAGCCCTTAAGATCATCGAGCTCCTTCCTGGCGAGTTTTCAACTCTCCAACTTGGTCTCGAAAAAACTGGTCTTTTCGATGCCATTGCTGCATCTCATCATACAGGAGGAACATTATTCGCACCCAGCAACTGGGCATTCCAAAAGCTTGGTCCTAGAATCAATGCTTTCCTCTTCAGCAATTATGGTCAAAAATACCTAAAAGCTCTTCTCAAATATCACGTTGTTGCAAATCAAACTCTCTACTCTGATGCTTTCTACAAAGCCAAGTCTGATGATCAGAGCATCAATGAGGTTGATGGAATCGATACTGCGAACATCCCCAAGGGACATTTCCACGTTGATTTACCTACCTTGCTGAAAGATAAGAGTCTAAGTATTGATGTTGGTAGATTTGGCGGTTTCATTACTATCAGAATCAATGGATTCAGCAGCGTCAGTGTTCAAGATGGTATTGCAAAGGATGGTGTTATTCATGTTTTGAGCTCCGTTTTGATTCCACCTAAGACCCCCGGCGGAGAGATGTGGGCTGGTGAGGAATTGGAGGTGGAGGATTTGATGGAGAGATTGGTTCCTTATATGAATGAGGAATTGTAAGTAGGGGTAGTGACGAAAATGTAACAAGTGATCAGGATATGGGATACGAGACATGTATAATACCTTTCGATATCGAAAACAAATAAGAAATAACAGACTTCTCAATCAATATCTTTCCTTTATTTGCGCAATGCAAGTTCCACTTCTCGTTACATATTCTGAAATTTGACACCAAAATCTTACATGGTGACGTCGGTGCTCGCCGTATGTGTCATAATAGAATCACATGTAGAGTACTTAATCATTTGTACTTGTCAAGTTATCAATTATCTTTCCATCTGACTTGTTCTTTGACCTTCTTCTCACCTTCGTCTCCATTCCTTCTACCCTCAGAATTCTTGATGAGAATCTCAATCCACTCAAGTCATTTTATTCCACTGCCCCTCATCTACATCCACCCCCACTCTCCACCCCCATTCGCCAATCCCATCCATCATCCTCCATTCAATAGCTAACCACTCCGACCATTCTCCTCTCAATAAAGTTACACACACAATGGATTCAAATCCTACTCAAACCCAATCCCTACCCTCGAATCCTCCCAAGAAACACCAAAATCTTAAACTTGTCCCCCTGTCTATAACCGAACATCTGGATGATTTTTGGGAAATCTGGAGAGAGGAGAGGGGGGTCATTTGGTCGTATGTTTTGTTTTCTTTTCCTGTTCCTCTTCTCCGGTGCTTCTTCTTGTTTATTCTTCCTGTTCTTTTCTTCCCGCATAAACAGAATGAGAGATGAGAAGAGGGGAGGAATGAATAGTAGTGATTAATGAGTAAGAAGGGTTCTAACAAAGAGAGAAAAATCATAGAAGAAAAGCTCCCATGAAAACAAAAGATGAAGCACTGGAGTTTTTGAAATATGTTTTACCGAGGACGGAGCAGAATCCGGAGGGAGAGGCGGTGGGAGTTGATAAATTTGCGATTTTGATTGAGGGAGAGGAGAGTGGTGAGTTTTTTCTTTGGGGTCTTGTTTTGAGTTTTGTTTTTGTTTTTGTTTTTTGTTATGCGCGGGATGAGGCGATAGAGTTGGAGTTGGAGTTCCTTGAGTGGGAGAGGGGGGAGAAGAAAGGAGGGCAGTAGAGAGGATGAGGATGGGATTGTGAGAATGTGAGAGAAGTAGGTTGGTTGGTTCTACGCAAGAGGGTTGAGAAAATGTGGAGGAAGACAGGCGCAACCTGGAAATCTTCAGGGTAGCTTCTGACTTAGTTGAATTATTGAGTTTCGAGGATGAAACATCGTTGCTCAGAAAGAGCTGAGGATCTCAAGTTGAGCTTGGAGGATAGATTTTCTCTTTAATCCTTAAGTAAGGATCGGATGAGAAATGGTTCTATGATTTGGTGTGAAGAGGAAATTTGTCAGTTCTATAGAAGGAGTAGAGGGTATTTGAAGTTTAAACTCATACTCCGACTTTGAACTCTTGAAGAGATGATCTTGTGATGATCTTCAAAAGCTTGAAGCTTTATCTCATACCCATTTTTTCAAGCGGCCCTTTGATATCTTGATCCTCATACACTTCCCCCCTCGTCATCTCTCCTTTTTATCTTCATCCCTTCTCCTTCTCTAATTAACATCTCTCAGACCGACCCAAATGCGTAGGTTTCGTGGGCACCAACCGGCCATCCCCTGAGGGTCTCGAAATGGGATATTGTGTGAATCCCGATTATTATGGTAATGGATATGCTACGTGGGGAGTGACTGAGTTTTTGAAGGTTTATTGGGGGATGGAAGGTGTGTTTTCTGTGGTTTTCATTCCGTCTTCTTCTTCGGGCGTGCACTCTTCTTATCCACGATGCGAGTATACTAGTATATTCAAAAACAAAAAGCCATCCTCTTCTATAACCCACCACAAGCTCCTCTCCAGAACAAAGAAACGGGCTATACTAACACAACCATCCCCCTATGATAGAAAGATCCCATATCTCGCACCTCGTAGCAAAAATTGACCCGAGAAATAAAGCAAGCGAGAGGATAATAGCCAAAGTTGGAGCTAGAAAGGGGGAAGTTCTTGAAAATGTGAGTCTCTTTTGCAGAAGTAGGATTAGGCTTTTACAAAGAAGGACAAGGAAAACTAATGATTTTGTGATATGAGTAGTTTTATTCGAGAATAATAGATGAGGGGAAATTGAGTGATATCAGGTGTTGGTATTTGGATAGACCTGGAGTTGGTAGGAGTGGGGAGGGAAAGGGAGAGGAGGGCAGATGAATGGGAAGTTTGAGATATGGGGGGTAGAAAGTATCGGGGTCAATGTTGAAGGGATTGATGTGGTTTCGATGTTTTATCTGGTATTTGGATGCTTAGAAACTCGAAGCTCAATCACATGAGCAGTGACCTATTTTTCGTGTCTTGATATAATCCTTTATTTCCTGAAATGCCCGTGTAATAATTCGGAATCACACTTACGTTTGAACAACCTGAGAGTAATAGTGAGAAATTAAGAGAAGATTAGTCTCACACCATAGAAGGTGTCATGGGGGATGAGATTGCGAGTGGCATAAATCCGATCGAAAGAGGATAGAATGAGAGTTCTCTGTTGTAGAAAAGTTGATGCCGAAAAGCTTTCTGACTATTGAATCTTCCGAGAAACTGAGCCTGACGATGTGGTGTTAGACAGTAGTAATGGTGACACCTATTTTGATTGTTGCCGGTTTGATCCGTAAGTTCCAGAGCATTAGGAGTGTAAAAAAGGGACGGGCAACCACTTGATTGAAGACGCCGTATATCACCGACAAAATGACGGCCCATTGGAGCTCGTAATGTGGTGTAGCGATTAGCGGAATCAAAATGAGTGAATCCATGTAATATCATGGCTTAGTTTGGTTGGTAATTCACTCTTTTGTATTGTACGGCTTATGAGATTTCTTTTCATATACAAAGCCCACCGTCCCTTCTTTGAAGTCTTTAAAAACAAAACTTTCAACCTCGATCCTCAACTGCCTCGATCAACAAAGTCGTTTACCAAATAACAAACGACATGGCATCCGTAACGATCTAACAAAATACCTTCCATCCATTTCCAAGATTTACCCTCGAGCTTCGTCTTAAAATATGGAGATTATCGTTCCCTGGACCCCGGTTGATCCGCATCTCTCTTATTGAGGGTCATTTCATGAGCAATGCCACCATTCCTACTGGCCTTCGCGTCTGCAAAGAATCACGAGATGAGACTCTGAGATTCTATAAGCTCTGCTTCGCTGCGGACCCTTCGAACGCCCGTATATACTTCAACGTTGACTGCGATGTTCCACACCTTATCACTCAACCTTTGGATCCATACTTTTATAATCTACACATGTCTAATCACCTTTTCACGCCACAGAATATGGGCAGCCCTCTAGCCACATACCCCAGACTCTTTAGCATAGCTCACGCCGCTATCAAAAACGATATAAAAGCTGTCTGTTTGGAAGATTGTAGGCTCCTTGCCGGTGAATACGAAGGACCTCCCATGCACTTGTTTGGGCCAAATTGCCAGGTGTTTGACTTCTATGGAATTTACTTTCGCACGCAAAATTTGTATTACGGCGAGCTTCCGCAACAGAGCTTGTGCCAACGGATTGGAGAAATGTTTGGCACTTCAAAGTTCGCATACATTGATGGTCATCCACCAATCTTTCCTATTGGCTGGACATCAGCACCTTCCCATCAACCATCAGATTCTTTTGCTCCCTCACTGAACAAGTTTGGGCCGCGGATTGTCACGGATTCAATGACATTGCCTGGCAGTTTATTGAACAGAAGATCAACAAGACTCGTGAGGAGTACCGAAAGGCTAGTCTGATCAACTGGCCAGCTTAGTAGTTTGGAGAGCGGTCCAGCAAGTCTTGATCTGGCCAGTCTATTTTCGAGGATCATGTAGGTGTCTCACACGGAGAATGAGATCCATCGTTTAATATTCACAGTCTTGAGAATGTTTTAAAGGAACTGCAATAATACAATACCAATAATACAATTGTACAAAATCACCATGGCCCGTGCACACCCATTTGTTTACAAGGTGCTTTCTTCTAAACACACGCAGCTTACTGCTGTGCAATATAACAAACATTTCAAGACTTCAGACTGAAAGATAATACAAAACGTCCCTCGTTTCTCAAAGTCATATTACAGGTAAACGACATTTGTATTTACCGTGAATAAGAGTGTTGTGGTAACTCGGATCAAGTCTTTCCTCGATAATTACCTACCCCTCCATAGGTCCAAACCACCTCCTGCGCAACCACAGACTTATCAGGTGTCTCGAATCTTTGGAATTTCTCCATTTGACTTCTTCACTCAATATCGCATTTTTCCCATCTAGATCCTACAACAATGTCATCTAGACTTCCCAGCGGCGGTGCACCTCGTCTTTCCACTGCACCCAGTAGTAGTACCAAACCTCGACAGCTGGTATGATTTCCAATTCCCTCTAGATACTCTATTAATACTCCCTTTCCAATTTGATACTCTATCATTCAATACTTTCGTCTCTTATTCAAAACAAGGCATTCAACAAATTCAACTAACAACTCCAGTCTCATCTACACGCACAACTCGCACAACTCTCTGCCAACCTTGGTGATCTTGAGAATCTTCTACGAAATACTAGTATACAAGCTGAGTCTATTCGAGGCTTGGGTGCTTATCATGGAGGATTGTAAGTTTACTGTTTCATTTTTCAGATTCTTCAAACCGAGTTCTATAGAAAGGATATGGCTAACGATTTCTTTGACAGATTCATGGCTGCAAGCAAAGTTCTAGGAGAAGAGACAATCGCGGGGAGTGCACAGCAACAACAGCAGGGACAGGGGCAAACAAAAGGAAACAGCAATCGGGCAGCAGAGCGTAAGGAGGACTCTGACTCCGATTTTTGAACGTACGTTTTGGCTACGAATAGTCTAGGAGGCAGGAGGCATGTGGATTCGGATATGAGAGAAAAACATTGAAACCTACACACGCAGTAGGATATCAAATGGCCAGTTCCGGCACGGGCAAAAGATTGCCGTCCCAGTTAAGACTGCGATTGCCAATAGGGCTCTCGGCATGCATATCCATCTCTTCACGGCTTTAAGACAATCTAAACCACGATCCTTCGCGAAAGACTGAGATAGCAACCCTATCTCCGAAGCTATCATTTCTCATGCTTCTCTCTATCTTGCGTCGACCAAGGAACGTAAGAAGCAGAAGCAGAAACAGAAGCAGAAGACGAATCTCACTCTGGTGGGCTGAACCAGCACCAACCTTTGTACTAGAGAAAGGTTCAAGAAGATTAGAATGAATGGATCGTTAATCGATATTGACGAGCGAACTGTTGTTCAATGGGGAGGATAAAATCTAAAATTCAAACAAAACTTCTTATTTCTCCCTCTCTACCCTTGTTTCCCTAGGTAGTCATTTTCTTTGCTCATGCAACCAGCCGATGGCTCAGCAAATTCCTTGACTTAATGATTTCCTCCAAAAGCCGGCCTATTCGATTATGAAGATGTCAATCGTCGAATATCGGTGCAAAAAAAACAAAAGAGAAACTCCCTCGCGTGGGGTCGAACCACGAACCTCTCGATTTATCTGTACGAATGAATTGCTTCACTTAACAGTCGAACGCGCTAGCCAATTGCGCCACGAGGGATGTTTGATGCTGAGCGAGTCGCATATTTTGTTATATAAATGCGAAATTTCAAAAGACCCACATCAATTCAGCAGAAGGTGGGGGACGACATGCACTGAAGACCGACAACCCACAGTTATTCATCTTTGTTATGGCAACCAGCGTTCGAATGATATATGTGGAAAAACTTGCCTGAATAGAATATCGATGTTCGTTGGCAAGAACATGTTTTGTCGTTCGAAAAACATATGGCTTTGGAGTAATAATACACGTACAATGTTGTCGCTTTTGATGTGGGTGGATGAAGGGACAGTTACTAGGTCTCTACCGGCCTATATCGACGAAGTCTAATGGTTAGGAACTCTTATTTATGGAGTTTCCCTTCATTCAGGGTGACGATACCATCTTGTGTTCAAAGGTCAGGGTTCCCAAGTCGATAGAGAGCAGCTCTAAAAGATTTGTCCAGTTGGTGCTGCGGGTAATTGGGATCCGGTTTGTAGTCAAAAGCTTCGTGCTCACCTTGGGCATGGAATCAAGATCTGTGGTATGCCGTTATGAAGATCGTCAAGATAATTACCACAGTCCTTTCCAACTGACAGCATTGTGTCTTGTAATGTATGTAAATGGCAAAAAAGTGTGATAATGAAACGAAGTTGTGCCATTGTAAAATTATCAGCTTCAACTTTCCACATTCAATGTATATAGAAAGCAGTGTTCTGCTTTGGGCAAGGTCTATTTAGAAGATTTATCCTCACACTACTTACTTCCGTGTCATTCTTCCAATGAACTTCTTCAGTGAACCGTATCTATAACTTTCACATATGTTTTTTGCCAGGCACGAAGTTGGGAGATGCGTTGGATAACCGTAATGGAAATACAAAAGACCTGTGGCTCAATCATTGTCTCGCTCCAATCGATGATGAAAACATTAGACTCCTTAGCCCGAGATATACCAAACAAAGCTCACATAGCAGGACTACCTGATTATATATATCCCACCAGAGTTTTCTGGATTCAACTCAGACATTCAACTCAAACCTTTCCCACCTCAGTGGCTCATCAACTCGCCAACTCGTAGACCTATGTATCTGACATTTTCTCTCAACTGTCAAGGCTCACCCGGGATGCCAAAAGCAGAGCCTCCACAACGCCTGTATCAATCCGTGTCTGAGATGTCAAGGGCGATTTTATCTAGCGTAGATGGTTTATTATAGTAGATACCAAGTAATAATGCAAACTCAATGAATAAGACTTCAAATCAATATCTCTCAAATAATGGCACGCCGATCCCGTGAGACTAGAGAAAACCCTCAACGAGAAGACTATTTATTCACTACAATATCAACACAGAAGGACTGACTTTACTTGAACTCCAGAACGAAATCCAAAAATAACAAAATCTAATCCAAGGAAGGCAGTTAGTTACTTTATCGACAGAGTACGACGCTACGATAAACATATTCGGCAAAAGAAAGGAGAATACCGATTCGCCTACCCCTCTTCTCCCCACTTAGGAGTCTCACGCCCGAGCCGAGCTACCCTACTTTTTCATCTCCACCTTTTTCACAAGATTTTCTCCCCACATTCACTACTATCCGAGACCTCCAAAAAATGCTATTTTGGCATTCTATTCAATGTAAAAGAAGAAATGGCAAAAGAGAATATAAATCAAGGTGGTCCTCAACTCGCAGAATGCGGCTTCTGTGGATCGAACACAGTGCCTCCAGATAAACAGATAGAATCTATTAGGTTCCTGAAGTGGACTTCAGTCTGGCGCTCTCCCAAGTGAGCTAAAGCCGCTTGAGATTGTGTTGTTTGTTGAGAGTGTGCCAAAATTGATAATATATATATCAAAACGCAGATCTGACAAAGTGTGGCAGTGAGACAGATCGGGATTGGGATTTGAGATGGGAAAGGTGGTCGCTACTATTGCGAGTGTACGTGGATACATGTATATCATTCAGTTCAAAGGTAGTCTGCGTTAAATTGAAGTTGCTAGCTGTATCTAATCTATATATAGTAGTATGTACACTCGATCTATGTGCTTCTTTTCTTGTATCTTGTATGTGCCTGATGTAAGTCCCCCAAATCTATATTGCCTGTCCAATCATACCAGTTGTTGAATCTCCCCTTTGATCTGCTCTATTTTCCCATTCAAATATCAAAGGACTAATACCAGATACAGGTCTCGAAGGTTTCTGCTCCCCCTCAATTGGCGAGACCACATATCTATCCTCATTATCTCCAACTTCGCTCTGTTCCTCTCCTCCAAACGATTCTTTTCTCTCCCGATCCGGGCCCCGCGAAATCACGCCTTCCGCAACATCTCCTAGCGGACTTGAATATCCAGTTTGAGGTGTTCCACCACTAATACTGATTTCACTTTTCCCAGCCATATCATCCGCATCATGCTTAAGACCAGGTACAACACCTCTCTTCCACGCTTCAAATGTATTTCTCCTAACTATTTTCTCATGGACAACACGTTTTAAATCCCCTACTTTATCTAATTTTAATTCGTAGCCGCCGATGAACGCGGGACGGTCGGGATGGTGTTTGGGGGATCTAGGTTTGCGACGGCGGGCAAGACAGAAGATGACGAGAAGAAAAAGGATGATAATTGCGGCACCACCGACAGCGCCACCTATGTAGGCTCCGAGGTGGCTAGATGAAGAGTTAGAGTTGGTGGGGAGTGTTGTGGTGGATGTAAGAGAGGTAGGTGCTTGCGTTGATAGTGGTGATTGAGTGGAAGATAATGTTTTTAGAGTGGTGGGAATGATGTATGATGGCGTAAGAGTCGGAGTTGGAGTGAATGATGTAGGTGAGATATTTGGAAGTATCGTAGAAGAAGGGATGATGTTTATAGTACTTGATGGTGCCGCGGAAACTACGGGAAAGCCAAATAATATGGAAGTAGATGAAGTGATAGTTGTGAAATATTCAGTTGTTGGTTGGTCTGAAGATAGAGTAGGAACTTGTATGACCGGATCTACATACGGAACGGTGGTTGTTGAGAAAGTAGTGAGAATGAGGACATTAGGATCTGGGAACGAGTATGATGGTGATTGAGTTACCGAACTGTCAGGAGGAGCAAGGGTACTACCAGTCGACGGTGGAATAGTAGCAGTATCGGCCGGAACGATGTAATTAGGAGGCGCAGATGCTAAGATACCAGCTGCGTCCGAAACCGCGTCGTTGACCCGTAAAGAATAGTTCAGTGTCGCCATATTGTATGAGGTTGTAGTATTGTATGAAACTGTAGTATTCTTAAATCGGAAGCCACGAGTGCCCATGGTTTCCGCTAATGGTAGTTACAGAAGCCATCTTGACTAGACTTGATCGAATTTATCAAAGAACTTGATGTTGAAGCTGGACCTGTGTGAATGGGCGAAGACAAAGCAAAGTTATTATTTTATTCACGACTTATTTTGGGGATCATGTGAAGAACAAAGAAGGTGAATCTTGACTAGCTATAGTAACGAAGATAAGTTATTGTTATTGTTCAGAGTTATAAATAGCATCGACGAAGTATTTCCCTTTTCAACAGACGGATTGAACATCACACGAAGGTTTTTCGATCGCCATGTCGAAGGTGTACTTTACAACTGATAATGCTATTGGAGGCTTGTTGAAACCTGATTATGATATGATTATGATTATGATCAAAGATGCAGGCACAAGTTCTGATCAATCGGAGTATTTGTGAAAGTTATTTTAGACGGTAGGGTGTGACCTGTGAATGACAAATATTTGTATTGGCTTGAATTCCTTAGGCTAATAATCTGACACCGGGTTGCTGAAAGGATGCTCCAGATGATATTGAAATAGTAAACGGATGTCACAATGGAAATAGAGTGAATCGGTCGTCTTGAAGAGATAAATTCCAAGATATTGTGCCATAGATAAGGCAAACAGATGATGCTGCATCGGGTCTTATTTACCCTATCAAATTCATATCGCCCATGATACTTTTTATCCACAGGACAAATTAGGAAACAAGACAAACGAAACAGGTGAGTTGATGGAACGAAGTCTTGGTAGAGGCTTCCTGATTCACCAACAGCCTTAAACTCCTCCTCTCTTGGGACAATCCGACAACTATCAGATGTATGAGTGAAAAGACATCATTCACTTGAGATGAAAAGATAAGGTTCATAAGGATGAATGACTAAGGTTTCGAACTTGCGTGTTTGTACACCTTACTATGGAGGGCATTGAGAAAACCGATGTAAAAAGGTTGAGTTGCCTATTAGGGTGTATATCTTGAAGGATAAGAGGGAAATGATCTCCCGAGTTACTGGGGTCCCACGTTTCTGATATTGTGCGGCCTTCCCCCATTTACATCAAATGGTCAAATAGAATGGCATATCTTCACTTATCTCATCTCGATATGACCATCTGGCAGCTATGTTATCAGCGGAATTGAGGGACGGGTACAAGCGTTGTCGCGAACCGAATGAGAGGCCAAGATACAATCAATCAGTCTTCCCAGGAATGCGAAATACCTTGTCAGTCTTGATTAGATTGTGCAGGATGGTATCATTTGTAGACCCGATGTTGAAACCGACGAAAGATAGATAAGGTGTGATGCAGATGAGATTAGAGTTGTGGTTATATAAGATGTCGTGTGCCCTCATCCCGTACTGGAATGAAAAGTATCATATTTTATGGTCGAGTTTTTGTGATGGACAATTTTTCGACTGGACTCTGTGAAGAATTTCGAACTCAAATCAAGGAAGGTCACATGATGAATAAATATTAAGGAACTGTCGCCATCCCGTCCCCATCTTCTCTTCAAGCAAACACAAACACAAACACAAGGTTACAATCATCGCACACATATACAATACAAGTACGAACTTCTTACATCCGCATCTACCGTCAATAATTACCGCAATAAACGAAGTCCATTATCGACATATCACATTATCAAGGCAATAACTCGATCCTCCATCGGACCATCGCTCGATCTTCACATTCAAGAAACCAAATGTTGTACGGAAATTAATAATCCAACGGCGATTCCTCTATCGATTCTTTCCTCAATTTATCCAACGGACGACCTCTCCGAGCCTTCAAAACTAGTTTGACATGTATGGTGGATCTCAAATCATTTCCTACTTCAGATTGTATTCGCGAGGGCAGCAGTTCGAATGAAATTACCTTGCATTGTTGACCCCCCACGCATGTTGGCAACTTGATCCAATGGTTTTGCCAGTTTCGCATCCTATCTCAGCCATTTCGAAATCCTTTAGATTCGTTTCCTAGGGTATGAGGGTGCCCAGTATCCTAGGCCTCGCTCATCTTTGCCCCCGCATATCCAATGCAGAGCACATGTAACTCCATGAACGTGCAGAAAAAGATCCTTGACGGCTGGCCTGTTCACCATTTTGAACTTTTTCATGGTTCCCCCACGCAAGGATATACTAATCACTAGACAATTTTCAAAGTCGTTTCGCTAATTTGACACTGAAGTCTGAAAGTAGGTTACCAATAGTTACTTCCTAGGATTGGTGCGGAGAATGAACAACACTATCATTTCAGCACAGTCTCAAGTATATTCACGACTCTGTTTGCGATCAATACACCGCAATCGCTCCGAATTCGGTGGGTCTAGCACGAGGTAATCCTGGTGTCTGTCTCAAGGAAGACAAAAAATAGAAAAGCACTAACTTGAACGCCTGACAGCCCGACGATGGATCTTCTTCACATGCAAAACAACTGCAAGTGAGTGGACATGCCATCTCAAGTCTATCCCCAAAATGGGGGGATGGCAAAGTCCACCCACTCACTTTGAACCATCAGCGAAGGACTGTACTAATTTTTAACAAACGGTCAGTGAAATGTCGCGTGCAAACCACACGGAAACAAGTTAGGTATATTTTCGCATTTTAATTCTTCCGTCGGTAGTATCGGTAGTCTAGTAGTTTCAAGGTGGCCCATGGAGAGCTGGACAACTGATTCACGAAATTGCGCTACAGCCGCGACAACCGGAATTTATCCTGAGGTCAAGTTTCTTAGAGAAGCGATGAAACTTTCGGTAATGTTACAGTGGAATTAACCTCTATACTACGCTCAACAGATCTACACAAAGCTCCAATTCGCATATCTTGCGTCCTGGATTTTAATAATACTTAGAGCCTACGGTTACGTCCGTCCCCCATTCGTGAAGCGAAAGACACTAAACAGTTACGCCGAAGGGCTCCAAAAGTCAACCCTGATATTAAGGGTCCTTTGATCTAGATTGCATGAGGCTCTTCTTCTTAGGATTTCCCGGTTTATTATTCCATATGCACGAGAGCCGTTAAAGCATATCCATGTATGATGGGTTTCGGCCGAGGGTCTACAAACAAAATAATGACAATCATTGAAATTCGCTACCCTTCGTTTTGACATTTGGGCTTAAGAAGTAGCATAAGAAATGGGTCTAGTTCGGGCAATTCCGTATTATTGTATTGCGACTTGAACTGTCGGGAGCTTTCGGAATTTCAAATCGGCCTATTAGCTATACACGGTTAGGCTTATTACTGCAATCCCGCTCCGGAAGTATGGTTCTAGGGAGGAAGTTCGCGTCCAAGTGCTAACGGTAAGATCCATCAACTAACGACTACTTCTCTTGAGAATCGAAACAACCAATCACTCCTCTCGAAACACTTGAGATGAACGGGCATGAAAGTGTTAAGCACACACTTTTGGGAAACCATCGGTCCGAGATATACGTGACGAATGAAGATACGTGATATCAAATGGAAGTACCTAGGTTTGTTACCAGCTATAATGTCACTTCGATAGTAGTGAAATGTCACATCGCTCTTGAAATCGCTGCATGTCTAGAAGCATGATCAACAATCATGGATGGCATCATGGGCATGAAGCTTCAGGCTGAATGAAGTCTGTGTGCATCGATTAAGATCTGTCCATGGAGGGGAGGTCTCACCCCACTAAGCCCCCCCCCCAAAACCATACCATACTCCCCTCCTCAGCATACAAGGACCCCACGAAAAAGCGCGGGAGAGAGGCCGCTTTCGCAACCAGATTGATATTATTGACATCAGTATACTTGTTGCGCATACTGGGGTACTGACGTCAAATTCAACTGGCAACATCATATCTACTTCGTGATGAACAAATTACTTTCTATACAGAGGACAGGGGATAAATCAAATGTGTAATTGATCTCACAGTGCTTTATCGATGATCTGGTTCTTAAGAAGAAATAACGCCGAAAGTCGAGAACAAGTCTATTGTGAATCTGTTGTCACGTACGCGCAACGCAGAGACTAATGAGAGGGACACAGCTTGTGGCAATTTGAAATGCTTACCTTTCTTTCAAAGTCCGACTCGCAGACCTAATCCGTTCAAATCGTCGGCTTTCCGCTGTGATCTAAGTTGCGCCATACCCAACTCTATGCCATGCGAGATTCGAGCTACTTGAATAAGGTACATTGTTTAACACGCTTTTCGTAGTTAGCCTTGTTGTACTTGCATATTATATTGCATATATACGCACCGAGACAACTGAACTTGGTCTTTAGTCGTCTGTGCAAAATGATGTCGAGCTTTATAAGTTAAGTCACAAACGAGGGTTTATAGATGAGGGGAGTAGGCGAGTAGGGGGAAGTTGATGTGGACAAGGCTTATGCACCAACCACAATATGGTCAAACCGGATGAAATATCAATTCATACTAACACAGCATTGCCGTATGCCACATGCACCAAATTAACTAATTTTCAAGTGTATGAATAGAGTTTTTTTTTATTTTTTTTTAAATGAATTCTTGTCACTATTTAGCTTTTTGACAAATTTTAAAATGAAAAGCTCGTGGACTCTTGCTCTCACTTTGGGATCAAATTCTTCCTCTCAAAAGTCACGACTTTCCTCTTCCTCCTCCTTCATTGAAACAGGATCTCGTGCCCTCTCTCCAAACATTTCGGGGATCTTCAGACCCTGACGTTGTCTTTCACGTTGAGTCTCCATTTCACATTCGGAATCCCACTTTCGTAAAGTCGCACTTCCCAAATGAGATCTTATGTCCGATGTCAACTAGACGAGGACCACAATTTTTAAAGTTGTCAGACATGCTGTTCTTGCCCAATAACAGTCAATGCAATGGTATCCCAGAAAAAGTGCAGAACCCTGGGACTAAATATAAATGACACTATAGTTGAGAAGGATATGATATTCGTGAAATAGGATGCTGGTAATCATGTATAATACTCAATTTGGTGTAATCAAACTCGATGGCTGTTCAAGAGCATGTCCTGGGGAAGCACATAAATCTATTCACACTTGCGATGGCTGTTGAACATGAAACGTTTATTCATTCTCGGAGGGATACGAATAATACGATAGCCAAGTATCAGTACTGTTGCCAGCCGTGTGGCTTTAACATACTTCGTTCCCGGCGGTCTTCCTCCAAATCACACCGAGGTGACCTCCGTTGTCGTCTCGATGTTTAGGTGACTTTCACACTATAAGTTACACCCCCCACTTGGACTACCCATGGTGCCGTGATTCACCCACATAATTTCAGCCATGCTGCGCGGGACAAATTACAGGGTAAAGTCAAGCTTCAAATCCTCGCCTCTCAGCCATTCGATGCCCTTGGAATAGGACCGTCTGGCGTCAGCATACCGGATATGTTCCATGATCAAGAAAATCTAAGGCAGTTTTACGCCATGCTTTCGATCATAGACATTACCGATCTACGTGCAATAGACACTTTATCCCTTTCCTTTTTCCGGACTTAAACACAGCCCTGCATTCTTTCAGGCTTGGTAACCTTACTCTGCTTGTGGTCAAATTCTACATATGAAATTTTATATTGGTGTGATCCGGTCCGCGTTGCGTTGAACATGAAGGGGCATTTTTTATATATATTTTTTAGCTTGGCAATGACGAGAACGCACTTTGGCTTTATCCATTTGCTGCAAGAGCGTTTGCTAGTCGTTGTTACGGTGCAGGTTGATGGGAGGTATCTTGCATGAGTTGAAGCCCAAACAAGTATCGAGGAAGGGAAGCGAGTGTTATTGAAGGGGGGCAAAATCGATGTCGAATTATGGAAATCAACGGATTACATCGGTGATACAGTGGCCAGAATCTCACCCAAGTAACCAAACTACTCGTAACTTCATGCAGCATTTCTGTCTTTGGCTGGCAATCACAAAGCAGGAAAGTACAAGGTATCTCAGAATCCCTAGCTATTGCATCGCAGTACATTACAGCATACAGCATACAGTATGTAGTAGAGGCTTTTTTTGCGATGATCCTTGAATCCTATTTCAGTCTCCAATGTGGGGAGAATTGAATCGAAAGTGTCTCCGTTCTTTCTGTCTCGTGAGTCGTGAGTGAGTTGAGAGGCAAGTTTTGGAGATTGAGGACATTGTATTGTACCCACAAACTAACCCCTCAATGACCCTTTGCCACTTTCCTCGTGGAATGCGATATCCTTACATTATTGGGAGGAGATCAATACGTGGACAGCATTATGCTCCGGTCACGATGAAGTAGATCACTCATTGACAACCATGAATCATGACAGACTTCTCATTTTCTTTGTACGTGATTAGGGTTCCCTAGGCATGGTTTGAACCTTATTCATGATTCTGGAAGCTTTTTGGCATTTCGATTTCACTATTTAGCCTTTTCGATGCCAATGTGCTGTGTCTTCCACCAACGCGGCATCCAGCAGCTACCATTTTCCTTGTTATATATTGACACTAGATTCGAAGTTGCATTGTGAATCGTGAATCGTGATTCGTGATTCGTGCTCTACTCAAGTACGCGAATCCATCTTGAGCCAATGGAGGCCGTGGAATATCAACAGACAGGAGAGCTAATGTATCAATGTGATACTGACTAGCTTCTAACTCTATGTTTGGGTGCCTTCAATTCGGTACCATCTGCTCCGTACATATTATATCGACAGCCAGAACCTTATTGAGAAATGCAGACATACCTACATGTAGATTGTACTTGACGAATACCAAAATGAAGCAAGACTATGTATAACACTGTGAATAGGAACTGTCTGATAGCTACTCAAGATCCAACCATTTGGGATTTGTATGTAGTTGGACATGTTTGATCTCTCCCCCATTTCCTCCGTGTGTGATATATTTCATCTAAAATCGAATCCATAATTTCATCCACATTTCACACCCATCCGTCCATGATCCATCCATCCATCTTTTCAATGA